TTCTGCAGCAGGAGGAACGATGGCTAGGACTGTCTTTCTTGGCAGCCTTGAGCTATTGCATCAGCTCAGCTCTCAAGTCTAGCTTCTCCTTCAGCCTTCCTAAAGATTGCAGACACAATATTTATCAAATGAGTGGTGTTTACCTGAGCTTTATCAGAAACTTCCCTTACTGTGTACCAGATGAGTTACATCTTTAAAGTGCTTTAAAATGCTCCAAGTCATAATACCTCTATTCACAAGATCAGATAAACAGTGTTCAGACAGGCAGGGTTTGGAAAGAAGGTTTCTTTGGGAGCAGGGTCTCTTGTTGCTATACCAATGCTTATCCTGGTCCAGAATTTCCCCATTAACTGTTACCAGCAGCTCCTTAGTTCTGCCCCATATTATGTGTTTTAAGCACACCTGCACTTATGTCTAGGCCGAAAAGCACCAGATTTTCATGTTAATTGCAGGTTTGGACTAGTGCCAACAGATTACAGATTTTTTTTGTATATATTAAGCTCAGGTACATGGAGGCCTTTAAGCTGGTCAGGAGTGCACAGCAGTGTTGGTTTGTGTTCTATTGGTAATGCTGGGAGTGGTTAGACTTAAACACTAGAGGTGGCGAGGTTACAGGCAAAGAAAAGAAACGTGGTATGTACCATCAAATATTTCTGAACAGAGAAGTTCAGGCTTGATGAGTCAGAGGCCTCAAGGCCATATTCCTTGTGTTGGGTGACTCTCGTTCCAGGGAGCTCTGGACTGTTGAAAGATCAGCTAAGAAAAGGTGCTTTAATTAGGTTGACTCTAACATGATTTATGTTTTTAAAAACAAAAATATTAAAACAAATATTAGGTGCATTAGACAAGATAGAATGCATGTTCTTCTATCCATTGCAATAACTTGAATTTCTTCCTGATATCCTACCCCTCCTCAGCTTAAAGCCATTACCCCTTGTCCTATGTACAGGTCCTTGTAAAGTCCCTTTCCTGCTTTTTTGTAGCCACTTTTAGATACCGGAAGGCACTCTAAGGTCTCCCTGGAGCCTTTTCCAGGCTGAACCACCCCAGCTCCCTCAGCCTGTAATACTGATAGTAGCTGAGTTCTTTTGGAAGGGAAGAAGTCTGTTGGAGGGAAGCTGATAGACTTCCCTGTTTGTTTGGATGGGGTTAAGTTATGCATGGACCTGTTTCAATCACACATTTAATGCTTCATTATATCTGTGTTAGACCGTCAGGTAGTTCAGTGTGGGCAACTAAACCAGAGTTATTGCACCATGGCAAACAAATATTTCCAGACTTTCAAAATTAGCTGAAAGGATCCCAACTCTTCAATCCCAAATCCATCAAACCTGTTTAATTAAAAAAAAGAAAAAAAAAGAAAAGAAAAGGTAGCTAGACAGTACTTTAGTGCAATTTTTCACCTTCTGCCTCGAATTAAAATATTTGGAGCTGTGGTGTCTGTTCTTGAATCCCTACCCCCACCAGTAATTTTGCTCATATGTTATCCATAAATCTTCTCTGTTTTAAATGTTCCAACTAATAGGCAAAACATTTAAGCACAATGCTATGATTATCAGAGTCCATTTTTTGGCAGCCTGGGTGCTGTTTTTCTTAAATAAGCACTGCAATTTAACCTGATTGGAGATATGAAGGAATTATTCCTCTTCTCGACATTTTTTCTGTTGTTGTTGGGGTTTTTTTTGCTTGTTTGGTTTCTTAAAATGAGGAGTCAGGGGCTCTGCATTCATTTTTCAGGAATATAATGTGCGATTTGGCTGGATCTTTGAAGTGGTAATATTAGAAATCTCCCAATCACCATTGCCCAATCTGTTTTAGCATTCATGTGCCTAATTTCTGTTCGTAATCTGATTACTGGCTTGAGCTGCTCCGGCTTGCAGCCTATTGCTATGCATTTACTGCACTCCCTGGGACGCGATAGCCTGACAGCTCCAGTCCTGTGCTATGAAAAATCTCTACACGATATTGCTAAGACAGGCCTAAGGGCTGTGGCTGCTTGAGAATTAGCTGCTATTGTAGTTTCTCTTTGCCGAATCCTTTGTTTCTGCAACCATGTTCAGAAATCCTTGGATCTCCAGCTATTTGGGAAATGTTAAATACTCTGAGGAGCAAGGTAAGGGTTCCAAGAAGATAAAAGAAAATGCAGTTTGTGTGTGTTTAATCTCTCATATATATGTCTGCATGTGTAAATATTGTTTGACTGTCTCTCCTGCAGCTGCATTAGGTACTTTAGCAATCAGTATGCAGTTAGTCACCTAGGCTATTTTGTTATTTCCTAAAGGACACTTTTGAAAGATCCGATTAGATGGATCTTTTAATTAGCTTAGCATGCCACCGACTTAGGACCTTTAAATATACTAAGTAGCGCTGGAAGGTTATATCTACTTTTTCTTTTCAGAGTGTTCATTTTAAATTTCCTACATTTTAAATTATGGGTAGTGGTTTTATTAGGTAGATTGTGCCTAAGAGAGAGGGAACTCAACAGAACAAATGGTTAAACTTGTGAGCAAGTCTGATTTACACTTCAGTACTCTTTAATTTTGAATAAAAATATTTTAAATTGCTATAATATAATTATGAACATGTTTAGAATTCTTCAGTAAAAAAACAGAACAAAATGCTGTTGCAAATATTTTTCTTCTGTCTATCGAGTACAGTGAGGGTGGTTTTTTATCTTTAAATTAACCATTGAATAAGACTCTGCTAAATTGATGTTTCTTTTGCGGGCATATTTATTGTCTTTTGATGTAGACTTGTTTAGTTTTCCTCCTGTGTTTGTATTTAAGACTTCCATATTGTGGTAAGTAAGTTTTTATTGGGCTTTAATCCCCCCCACATGGTGTTTAATTTGAACAGGAGGAAATACATAACATATCAAAACTCCATAATGGAATTTAATTGTCTGCTAAGTTTTTCTGTGTTTGGGATGTGGGGGAAGATTGGGACTCACCCCTGTGAAACACAGCAAAGTTTTAAGATGATTTTGAGGCATTAAATATGTGGTGTATATGAATGCTGCTGAATCTGTTTAAGGGGTGCAAGAGCCAAACTGGCTGATGTGCCCCTCCCAGCAGCCCTTCTCCCTCTCTGCTCCCAGGGAAGCAATGCAGCCTCCTTTCTTCTCTTCTCATATTCCCTCCCCAGTTTTGGCTGGGCTAGGCAGAATTTCTCTGTGGTCTGCTTGTGGTTTTCATGGTGGACAGCTGTTCCAGTGCCAATAATTCTAGGATGGGTTGCATCCTGTTAGAACAGCTATAAATTTAAGATATGCCTGGTTCTGATTAGCTAAGCTGATACTGAGCTGGGCTTTGGAAGTTAGTGCATAGTCCTCTCAAAGTAAATCTTGCCTTTTTAGGGGATCCATATGGCTCAGAGTATTCTTTTTAATGCTGTGGTGTAAAATATAAAATAAAATGATTTATATACCATTCACACTGTTTTTCTTACAATATTCTGTTTTGATCTAACAAGATGTTTTTATGTAATCTATGTGCTTTGTTCTCCATTAATGGAAAGAGAAAATGAATGTTAACAAAAACAGGAAAAGTTGCCTATTAAAGTTGAAGACTACTATTAGCAAAGCTGCTTGAAATCTGCACTGACTTGTAGCAGATGCCTAGAAAATGCCTTTTTGCACATTTTAAGCTTCTTTATCAAGTTGTTAAAATACTCTTTTTTTCTGTTACTTTTTAAAAGTTTTTTTCAATCTTTATACCTGTAGAGGTGTCAGAAAGAAATGGAAGAGGGTAAGAAGTTTTTGAAATGCTTAGACAAAATGTACATGCTCTAAATTAAGACCCATATTGTCGTAAGTTTCATTAAACCCTTTCTGCAAAAATAAGAGACATTCTACACAGACTTAAAATACTGTGCATAAGCAAAAAAGTATTTTTTTGCAGTTAGGTCTTCCTTGAAATAGTTAAATCTCAGCTCTGAGGCAGAGTAATAGGAGTGTAGCTGCAACTGAATTGTTCTAAAGTCTGGACTGTGTTCTAAAGTCTGGGTTTGTTTTTGAAAAATAAAATGATTGCTGTGTCAGTGACCAACTGTTTATTAATGTAGGGTCTTGGGTAGTAGATTTAATACAGATGGGGATGGAAGGCAATTTTTCATTGGGAGTAAGTTGTCAGTAGCTCCATGTGTTTTTGCACAGCAGTCCCAGAGCTCCCTGGCTGGCAGTGTCGGGGGTGTCTTGCTTGCACCCTCCTGAATGGAGGGAGAGGGGGCTTGGAACCCTGTTCCCCCTTGCCACTGGTCATCATTTAGACCCTCTGGTGATGCACTTGATTGCAGAAATGGAGAAGTTGAATCTAGGAGAGGGTGGGGAGGTTGCCCGTTGCCTATTATGGTTCACACAGTTTTGAGAACCCAGAGGCTTTGTCGTACATGTTTTTTAACATAAGGCTGCAATTTTGCTCTCAGTGTAAACATGAGTTCCTCTGTGAAATACATGTTGTAAGACTATTCAGAAAAAAAATGGGAGCTTCCAAACAGTAGACAATCTTCAGAAATATTTCTGTCATGGATGGTGTAATACTGTTGCAACAAATCCTCAGCTGGACATCTCTTGGCTTCTGCAGTGAATATGCAGTTTTTAGAGTATTGCCAGGCTGCAGCCAAAAAGGCTCTTGCTGCTTGCAGCACTTCTCATTTGCAGAGTGCTTCATAAACAAGTCCATTGCCCATTTTATAAGCTGGGAAACAGTGAGTTTAAATGATCACCTCAGGCTGTATTGCTACACCACAAATATTAGGGCATGGCAGTTCCATAAAAGTGTTGATGCTTTTGATGTGTCTACTGTCTGTATTCATTTTTGCAAAGCTTTGGATTTTCAGCATCTTGGACATGCCAGCTGGTGCTCCTTTGCTTAGAGAGAAGGCCTCTGCACAGGCTTTTGCAGGGGAAAGAGGCTATGCTTGGAAACTATAATCTAGTGTACCAAAAGTTCCCCATTTATTACAGCATCTTCACAATGGTGTGATTTTTTTCTATTTCACAGATTTTGCCAAAGGAAACTCAATCAGATTTAAGCCTTCACGACTGCTCCTAAGGAAGAGAGCGTTAAGGTAAGGTTGAGTTTTTCTCACTCAGTGAAGAGGGTTGGGTGCAGTAATTTTCCTTCATTGCTTGAATCTACATTTATTCTTTTGTCAAGAAAAGTAGTTATTGGTCCTCTCACAGGACCAAGTTTTTGTACAGTGCAGATGCTCTGATCAAGCATTGAAAACACCAACTGCCTCTAAAGTAATGTTAAATTTTCTAGCTGACATTGCTAAAGGGGACAGTCCCACTGTGCACTGAGCTTCCTGCCATTGCAATGCCCATTTTAATGCCCATTTTTCCTTGCGTGGCATGAACAGAGTACAGACATCCAGTGTGAACCAGCCAGAAACACTTACCTGTCTGTAAAAGCAGGTGGCTGAAGTGGGTGAATTAATTATACATCCTTGCAGGGAGCAGTCTGGGGACTAGAAGAAGAGGACCCCGCAGAGATGAGTGGACTGGTGGTGCTGCTCCCATGCAGGGCTGTGGCTGCCTCGTGGTCTGTGTTCTTAGGGCACAGTTGCACAAGGCTGAGTAAGGGGATACACTTAAATAGTTAAGCAAGAAGGCAGGTCACATTCCCTTTCTCTTCCCACCCTTGCTCCAGCTGCCTTGGGTGTCCGTGTTTGTGCTTGCTGGATTCACAATGGCACAGAGAGGAGGTCAGGAGTTGGGAGTCGACCCTTGCCCCAGGAACCAGCTGTTTCTTTGGCTCAGCTGCACATGAACCCACCTGCCACAGGTGCACAGGCACATGTTTGCAAGCTTCTTTTCAGGCAGTGCACACACCTAGAGCACACCTGGTTCCCTGCCATGGTGTTTCTTAGGTCCTGCAGAAGATGGAGGGAATGGGTGCACAAGGCACACTGTGCTATGGAAGCAGCTAGGGGAAAGTAGCAATGAGAGTAGTAGAGAAGGACATGACTGTAGAATGGACCTTTTACATAAAAGTCCAGGGAAGGAAGTTCTCCTGGAGGTAGAGAAAGAGAAGAAAAGTGAACAGCAAGCACCTTGCTGGCAGGTGTACAAATGGGTTTTATACTTCAATCATAAAATCTCAGTATATGCCATAGTTTTAATTGGAATGGCAGGTCAGTGTTACCAGTGGCGTTTGGATCTAACTTCTAGTTGCTTTTGGGCATGTAACTAGGTTAGTGGGACAGCTATTTAGAAACCATATGCTGCTGCTGCAGCAGCAGGAGCAGATGAAGTTTTCAGCCTGGAATCCCTGATGTACAACATGCAGCTCGCACTTTGGAAGTTGCCAGAACATTGCAACTACTGAGACTGTCAAATACTCTAGTAATCCTGCATTATACATTGTTTTTAAATAAAAACTATTGAGACTGTGAAATATTATTGCCTGTGTTTTAACAGGAATCATCTGAATTTCTGAACATTGGGGAGTATAATGATTTTGCTGGGAACCTGAGGCCAAGCCACACACAAATCCTGTGTGAAACAAACTGGTGGGACCTCATGCTGTTGATTGCATTTCATGAATACAGTCATGATCAAAAGCTATATTTTAAGCAAGGAAAGGACAATAAGTTCCTCTTTCAATTTCCAGATTTATCAGGGACTTCAAGAAAGAATTCTTTCAAACATCTGGTTAATTTTTTTTTTATTTAGAGAAACCCATGTATTCCCTAATTATTTTAATAATAAATGTGCATAGCCTAGCTATTAAGTGCAAAAATTCATAGTGCTGCTGCTCAGAATCTGCACTTAAATTTACAGCATGACTAGATGTAGTTGTGATATTACTAGAAGAGGGTTTTGAATGAGTTTGGAGGTACAATATATTTGGCAATCCAACTCTGACTATCTGACTCTGCTTAAGCAAATGAATTGATGCTGCGACTGCTCCTCCAGCAGAGAAACTAATAAAGCAGAGAGAGGTCTGGAAGTATCCCTTTGAGGAGAAAGGGAAGTCTTGTTAAGGAATTACTTATGAATTTGTTTTTTAAAACACTTATAAATGATGATGAGTACCTCGTGTAAATTTTTTTTTTTTTTTTTTTTTTTTTTTTTTTTTTTTTGCTATTTGGAATTGCCTTAACATCACTGAATTACTTTAACATCATTCCAACTCAATTTAGAATACTAATGAATGTTCTTATTGAAGACTGTGACATGTCCTAAATGTGCCTACTTTCATTTTTAGAACTAATTTGATGTATATGTCTATAAATACTCAGTTGTTTGGCTTGACTCTGTCATCTTCAGAACAGTGCTGTCTCTGAATCCTCTGTGCATGGGAAAGCAATGTAATTATGTATTGGATTAAAACATTTTGATTTTCTCATGTGAAACATTTAAAACAAGCATTTCCACATGCAGCTTAGCAAGAGAAAGCAAAAAAAAAAAAAGTCTCTGAATAGATTAAATTCCTAAATTGTGGATAAAATAGTATATGAAAATTGTTAATCTTTAAAAAATAAACAGTAATGGTTGAAAGTCTGTCCTGAGGAAAGTGGAAAATGAGGGCATAAGGGAAACTGTGAAGGGACTTTCACAAAGCAGATTACCTGTGATGCTGTCTAGTGCAGAGAGGGTTAAGCTTAGGAAGTTTGTGGTTATTTAAGGAATTTTAATGAAATCTGCCGGTGAGCAAAGGCTGCAAGCCACCCCCTGTATAAAGGAGGAGGGAGCTCCCATACAGGAAGAACTGGATGACCTTGAGGAGTAATAGAAAAAGGATGTAATGTAATAATACTAAGTGCACAGTTGTGCATTGAGGGCTGATAAATTTTTCTGTCACTTTCAACTGATGAAAGCAAAGCCTTTGCATATTAGTTTCTCATGCAGGATTGAGTAACCAATACAGTGAATATGTAAAAAGGCAAATGTGTTGTAGATCCCAGCATTCAGTTAACTGTATAATAATGCTTTCTCTATTAAAAAATCGTATCTTCATAAGATACTGCTAAGACCCAAGTCTGGACTCAATCCAATTCCATTCACCATATACAAAAAAAGATTACTTAAAACTGGAATAAGTAGAGGACATTGTAACAGATAACCAATGAGACTGAGAGCCTGTCCTGAGAAATCTGAGTACATGTAGATAACCCCTTTTAAAAAAAATAAGCAAGGTAGCTGACAACACTGGCACAAGAACAAATGGATGGAAACTCAGTGACAGACATTTAAACGAGGTTTAAAGAATCTCTGCCTTCAAAGTCGCTAGAACTCGCTGGAGGGGAGGAGCAGGAGTGAATGTAACTAGTTTAGAAGCAATCCAATAATACGGTTGTTTATAGAACCATCATACTACTGCCAGTCCTGATTCCATGATTTTACCCTTGGAAATTCACGTGGGAATTAGGCATAGTGGTGGGTGTTCACTCACAGTTCATTTAAACAAGGATTTTGTTGTTGAGTGAATGCTTTTTTGTACAAAGCCCCTTGTTTAGGGAAACTTATGGTGCTGTACTGTCACAGGCATCATGAGAGCAAGTGGAGATACTGCTAAATAAAGCCCAGGTATTCAAAAGTCATGAGATGGATGCTTCAGCTCTTTTGTCTTATGTAATTAAGTTCATTTGGCAGAATAAATTCGGGGTTGGTTTATAGCCTTAGGCCATATTATTTGCATTTTTCAAACTCATCCTCAGCCAAGAGTAGAAGCTGCTTTCACATGGGGACTGGGTATCTCTCCACCCAGGGTTCTCCAGAGGTGTGTATGTAAGAAAATAATATATTGTGAGACTAGTAAGAATTAAAAGTGTTGGTAGTGTGGGGTCAGGCATAGAAGAACATCCAGTTAACTGTCTGAGTCTCTGCTCAGTCTCAGATGACACATAGATCCATTTGCTTGTTGCTGCTGTGTGCTATTTTTTCATTGTGTTTTGATTTTTGTTTCGTTCAATTACCATGTGTTTGCTGTGTAAGGACACACAGTTCTCTCCAGTGGACAGCTTATTGCAGCTCTCCATCTTCTATTTGTTATTTTCTGTGGTGGCTAACATTGCTTTTCTTGGCAGTACCTGGAATAATTTCTCTAAGTGCAGTTGTTGGAGACAATTTGCAGCAGGTGGCATGGTGCCTGGTTGTGACACAGCCCAGTTTCTTCATTGTCATTTCAAGGGTTTCATTCTCCCCTCAATATCTTTAAAAGGATGTTATTTATAAACAATATATTTATAAACAGGAACATTTATGAAACATATTAGTCAATATATGTTAAAACTCTTTTCAATGAAAATTGTTCTTTGGAAACAGTGAGTACAGAATTCATACCCTTGAAAAAAAAAAACAAACTGCCATTTAAAATCTGTCCTAAGGAAGGATTTCCCAACAGTAAGATTGTGCAGTTTTTCTTATCAGAATAACATTAAATCATACAGCACACCACTACTATGACAGAATGAAGAACCTGTTATCACTGTGAGGATTTATATCTGTTACACTTGTCTACACAGTTTACTAAAGGTTATAAGACCATTATAAGTTTTCTTATGCCCAGCTGGGGTAGTCACAATGGCTGGATACAATAATTTGTTCTCTATTTTTATTAACTGAGGAAAAAAAGTCTTGCTATACAAGGAGGAACACAACACTTCCTCCAAAAAGTCTCTGTAGACAGCTGGGATCTAGTTGAGACCATTATGACACCTACATTTTGCAGTTAAAATTTATATATTTAACGAAGTTATTTAAAGAAATATTTTGTTTCATATAAATGGGCAGTTTTCGTGCTTTGAAAAGACACGGTATAAAATTAAATTATCTGGAATTCCTATTAGCATATTATAAACTGTGTAAGATCCAGAGAACAGTGCAGTAACAACAACAACAAAGTCATGCAGAAGCCTTCTAGGTGGAGTGTACATGCAGTACTGCATTTGATGACATATTTTAATATTTATGAAGAACCATTCAATATAGATTATTTTAAATGTACTTGCTTAATGGAGCATTTTGAAAGCAGTCAGTAATTTAATACAAAAATGTGTCATAGACAGTTCCAAACAAGTTTCAAATTATGTTAGGTTTGGCTTTCTGAGTTTCTTTGGGTTATTTCTTAGCTCGTTCTTAGGGAAAATATTTTCTTTGGTATCTCTGTTAGACTATCTTGCAGTAAATTGGTTATGTCTTGGGTTTATTTGATTTGTAGCAGAGGCATCCACAGTTCTGTAAACCAGATGTTGCTTTTAGTTTTCAGAAGGAGTTCTCATTTGAAGATAAAGAAGAACTTGCGAACAGCACAAAGGATATTGATGCTAATCTCTTAGCAGTACTTCCCAAAGGTAGGTAAGGGAGGCATGTTATGAGCACAAGTGCTAATTTAACAGCATGTGAAGTTTCATCTATGCAACTACAAGGCACAGTTAAAATTACTTGAGCACAGATGTTTTGTAAATGAGTTTTCCCTGCAAAGTATGAAAGAAGCATGAAGGATGAAACGGGTTGAACCACAATGCTCTTTATGAGACCTTCCTACATCCCTGCTTCATAAAGTTCAGCTTTGTTTACCTGGTTTCAGTAGGTTAGTAGTTGAAATCCAAAACTTCAGAGAGTTTCTTTTTACAGTTAGATTAATCCAGGGTTCAAAAGTGTTAACTTGACTTTTAAAGAGTCATAGCCCTTTCCAGGCCCCTTTGGTTGAGTCACTGTGCTTGCATGACCAATTGACTGCACTTGAATTTTTGTCTTGCATGCTAAAAGGCCTACAGTACGTATGGAGTTTAGTTGGGGAGATATTTTATATTTTCCAAACTTCTATCTTAGTCTGAGTAGTTTCTGAAGAAAGCAGCAGTTCCATCTTTATAATTTGACACAGTTGAGGTAGAGGCAAGAATTAATTCTCTTGAATTATTTAGAGAAAATCATGATGTGCTTGACCCCCAAAGGGTGACATTTGACTGAAGAACCATGTGCAACTGGCACAAAGATGTTGCTTTCATTCCAGGATGTTGTGGACGTCAGAACTTGGATTAAAATTGTGTGTGTCTATGTTCTGGTGGTATTTACTCTTTTCAGACAAGCTACAAAGCTACAAGGCTAAATGCACTAATTCCAACATGAAGGAACTGGCTTACTCTTTTAATGTCATTTTTTGCAGAGTTCCTCTAGAAAGGAACACTTCTTCCAGCATAACATTTAAGTGCTATTTAAGCATGCTTGCTTTTAATTATAGTCATTGCAGATGTTCAGAAAAAAAACATTGTTGGCAAAATGTTGGAATAGAGTAATGTGCATTTATAAAATACAGGCTTCTGAGAGCACCAGACAGTAATAATCCATAGTCCCTCATTATTCCTTACACTTAGCCTTACAGCCATGTGGCCAGCAACTTTTAACTGAGCCTTCACTTGAGAAGCCTTATCTGTAAGTTGCTTCTCAGTGAACTAATTTCTATTCTAGGATGTTCTATTTTTCAAAAAAATATTCTCATAATGAAGGCATCATATTTGATTTGTACCAGACTTAAGAAACAGCAGTGAGAGCTTTTGGTTGCATTCCAAGGGGACTACTTAAAGTCCAGGGCTTTTTGAAAATCCAGGTTATTTTCTAGAGCCTTTCTAGAGCCTAATTTTGATCCAGGTTTGCATATGTTGAGAAATTGAAGGGATATATTTATTTTTCAACTGATACTGACTTAACTGAAGCCTGCAATTGGGCGTTGAAGATGTCAATACACCTTTGCTGGCATAAACAGAAGATAAATGTTTTTCCAGCCTAGTTTTAAGACCATCACCTTTCCAGTTGTGGAGAGGAGGAAGTAGGAATGGGGCTGGTAGGCATTGCTGTTCTATTAAATTTTCCTCAAAATGAAAATGTGTGGTACCTGTTTTGCAATGGTTATTTACCATCTCTGAGAAACTAATCCTCTGGCCAGTAACCTTTTGATCCATGTCTATCCAGACTTCATAAGTGTACATGCTCCCCCTCTATTATAAACTTTTGGAAGGCTTAATTGAGTTTTTACAGCTTCTGTACAGCTTCTGTATTGTGAAAAGAAGACTGCTGTCACATGGCTGCAACTTTATTCACATGTCCCCTCTGCAGCTGTCAAAAAGGCTTTCAGCATAAACATGTTTATATTCTGTAGCAGGTTGCTGAAAGATTTCTATGAATATATATTTCTATAAGAAATATTCCACTTTAATTTAAGGAGTTTTTAAAATATAAGGTGCGCTCCAAATGTACTTTTTTTTTTTCATTCTAGGACAACGTGGGGAACAATACTGTTTTTCCTAAATAATGGTATTCCACAGTAAATTTTGTTTCGAGGACTACAATTACCAAAGTTAAGATGCCTCTTGACAGTTTACCTCAGAGGGTATCCTACCACAGCATCCTGCTCAATATCCTAAAATAAAGCCTCAAATTCAGAGCTGTTTCTGACATGTGGCTGTTCTTCCTTTTGCCCTTAACTGACCAATGGTGCTTACAAAGTGTGTGGCCATGAAGTAATCTAGATAAGGAGCTTTTACTGTGAAATTAATTATTTTAAGCTTCTTAGTCTTTTCTTGTGTGCTGAATCAGATTTTTGTGCTACCTTTTAGGTAGAAGTGTTGCTGGTTTTTAGCGCTATCATGGTGTTGTGGCGGTCATAGGAAAACATCCTACGGACAAATGGTAGCTGGCACCAACATACTCAAGTTGTAAACTAAAAAAGAGAAACCTGGTCACCTAAATTTGCAAAGGCCAACCAGTGTCCTTGGGAGAGAAATGTCTCCAATTGGTTTCTATGTTCTGAAGTAAAATATTTTATTTGTCAAAAAGAAACCCCTAGGCTAGAAGATTTTCTGCATTTTGTCTTCTTTTGGTTTTGTGTTTTGGTTTTTTTGGGGTTTTTTGTACTTCTTTTTCCCTCCTTACCAAAAAAAGAATATTGCTGGAACTGCTTTCACAAAAAAATTATGCAGATGTTGGCCAAACTAGCTGAAATTACTTCTGTAATCTCAAGCTTGGAAAAAGTGTATGGCAGCATAGAGTAGTCCATGCTATTTTTGTCCCATGTTGTTTGGGGAGGTGTTGGGAGACATTTTTCATTAGACCAGTGCTCTTTTTAGGCCTGCAAAGTGGTAGTAGAATCTCTGGAACTTCAGCTAGCATGTAGCAAAAGAGTGTTGAGCTAATGCTTTAGGAGTTCTTTGGATGTTCCACATTTCTTGTATGTGGACAACTTATAGTCAAGTTTCCTTTTCTGGGGGTGGGGGGAGAGAAGACTTTCACTAATAAATGAAGCTGTGCTTTAGAGATTTACTAAAGCTCTGTAAAAGACCTGTTCTCTGATGATGGTTTTGGTTACTGTATAAATTGGTGACTAGGAGGAAAAAAAGGATCAGGATTTGGATTGAATGTGATTTTAGTAACTCTGAGCTCTGGAGGCCTTTGACTTGTGTGAAGACAGACAATTATGGGTTTTGTTTTGACAATGTTGTATATACATAGCCAACAGATGGAACAGAAAAGCTCTAATAGCTAGTGGAACATAATTAAACAGTAGATTTGGGGAGGTGAGAGCAAAGTTTTTAAGAGAAATCATTTTCTTTGGTGTGGATCTGAAATGAAGGCTGGTTTCAAATGGGTAAGTTCTCTGTTTAATACAGTTCCATTGCCAGCCTAGCTTGAGTAGACAGGGCGCCAGTAGAAATTGCTCATGCATTGAGAGAAAAGTCTGTGAAAACACAACATAAGGGCTCATATTTGCTTTGGTGTTGGTTCAGGCTCAGAATGTGTTAATTCTTGCTGATCCTGCACATTTTATCTGTAGTCCTGCTTTCAGGCTTTTCAGCACGTAAGGTTGATGTGACAGTCAATGTCAACAGTGTCTATGAGGTGAGAGCGCTGGTATCGAGTACAGCAAACTTCCTGGATGAATCAGCTGAGCTGGAACCTTGACCAAGCCATGCATGTTCAATTCTTGCAGTAGAGGGAAGGCAGAAAAGGTGCATCTGACCTTTAAAAGGATGGTGTTGCAATAATATTTATCTAAGTATCTAGAGCAATGAGATCTGGTAGCAAGAAAAATAAGCTGGTATGTTTACCTCTGCAGTGGAACAATATCAGCTAGACACTCCTGACTCATCAGGTGTTTTTGATGGCAATCTCTGCCAATTTATCAGGCATAGACTTTCACTTTCTTTAACTTTTGATCCCTGGGTCAACAGGGTTAGAACCCCAGAGGTGCATTGGCTCAAGAATAGGTGCACACAGCTTTCAGCACCACATTTGCCAAGGCCACAATACAGGGGTGTGTGAGTGTGCATGTCTGTGTGTTAGGCACACCCCACCCCAGTCCACTGCTTCCCTGGGCAGCCTGGACAATTTCTCTTGCTGGTGGTAAGAAGTCACACTGCACTTACTTGTGTGGCACTTACTGCTCCAGTGTGGTTTGCACGTGCACATATGTGTGTATATATAGGCATTACTTCATCTATCGTGCCTCCCCTTGGTTCACTACAATTTTGTGGACTGTAGCAGCTGTCTGCTGGCACTTAACGCCACAAAGAGTTCAGGGGAAGAGCAGGAAAGCATATCCAATTAAAACTACAAGGGAAAGTTAGCAAAGTAGCAAGTGATTAACTATGCAAGAGTACCATGATGGTGCATGGTAATTTTCACATCAGCAATGAGTCACTGGGATTCTTGGGATTTAGTCAATATAAGGGTGTGGAGGAAAGTAAGGAAGAGGATACCTGTTCCTTACTGTTTCTCTTTAAACGTAGTCAGTCCCTGACCTTTGAGTAGGCAGGGTAACCAGACTTTCCATACTACCTGGTTTTGAAATGGGTTACTAGCTTGACTTCAGCTAATCAAAATACAACTTGTCAAGTACATACTAGCTCTTGAAAACTGCTAGGATGGCATAGTAGATTTGGGATTAGCCTGGAAGTACGTGGAGGGGAGGAGTACTTGGTGGTCACACCTATGTGCCTAATGCACTTTTGAAATCACAAACTTAATAAACTAGAAAAACGAGGAAAATGCTCATTTCCTAACAAAAGCTATTTCAAACTGCTGAACTTTGACTGTTCCTTCTTATTCTAAAGCATTTTAGCAAGTTTCTGAAACTTATTGTTTTATAAGCTACATAATCTTTTGTTGTCTCAGTTTCAGAATTAAGGAAACTCTTTGAACCAAACAACCGAGATTTTTTGGAAATGAAAAGGTAAAGGAAAAAAGTGTTTGGCCTGTAAAACAAAACACACAGCTTGTTTTGTTACCTCCTCGTAGAAATTCTGCCCTCCAATCTTCAAGATGCCTGTTTTCACATTTTTCACATATTTTTCAGAAAAGAAAGAATAGCTAGGCGCTTAGAGGGAATTGAAAATGATACACAGCCTATGCTTCTACAAAACTGCCCAGGATCAGTCACACACCGTTTGCTAGAGGAAGATACACCAAGATATATGCGTGCAACTGACCCTTACAGCCCTCACTTAGGTAAGTGGCACATGGCAGTCAATCTTGCACTGCTGAATTCCTTCATGTTTGTTACACTATCAGCCTAGAAGATCTTCTACAGAAGAGCTCTGTCAGGTTGTTGGGGTTTTTTAAATTTGCCTTTTAAGTCTCCAGTTGTCTTATTTAAAAAATGTTGATTGTTCTCATTGCTTTAAAATAACTATTTGAATTGAGAACTATTACTTATTAAAGAATTATTCCTAATACATATTTCTTAATTGTTTTTAAGTGCTTTTGGAGACAAAAGTGCAAAAATATAATGTGCCTGTGCAGTCACTTTAATTTGTAAGAAAATCTTTTTGTAAGAAAGCTTTTAGTTCACTCAGTTGGAGTGGTTGGTAGGGCACTTGGAGTTTTGGAAAGGACTTGCTCATGTATTTTGCACTTTTGACAGGAAGATCAAATGAAGAGGAGGAAACTTCAGATTCTTCTGTAGAGAAACACCCCAGATCATCCAGATACCGATCAGAAACCACAGGAGGTAATACAGAGCCCTTGTACAGTACAGCAAACATGGATGTCCAGGAACTAGAGTCAAAAGCAGAGAGAATAGCTAGGTACAAAGCAGAGAGGCGACGCCAGCTGGCAGAAAAGTATGGATTATCTCTTGAGTCTGATTTGGATTCTGACTACTCATCCAGATATACACGGGCAAGGAAAGATCCTGACAGCGTGGAAAGAAAGGGAGTGAAAAGTGAAAGGCAAGATGATGAAAACAAGGACTATGGCACCCTCTATTTTTCCAGGACTGAGACAAAGGCATCAAAGAGTTCAATTTCTGATTCCAAAGAGTACTCCAGCCGTGAAGATAAAGATGACCTCTCAAATGAAAAGGGTGTTAGAAAAGCAGATGACAGTGCCATTAGACAGGCTTCTGACCCTTCAGCAACCTTGGATAGTTCTGTCTCCCTTTCACTTTCTGGACGAGACTCTTCCTGCTATAACGAAGTGCCAATACCACCAAAGCAAGCCCCCCGAGAGTCCCTCTCTTCACCAAAGCGGGCAGCCTCACCGACCCACTTGCAGAATGACCAGCCCTTGCACAGTAACAGCAGACAAAGGTAAGTGTGATTTCTGTTTTTGTTTTGCTGTAGATTCCTTTCTCTTAATCAGCTTCTGCATCAGGGTCTACAGTATTAATGAGAATGTATTTATTGCCCTTGAAGAATGTATTTAGTTGCTTTGGATGTCTTAGACTGGATTAGTTGGGTTTATTGTATCACAGTGTATGTCTGATACAAGGAAGTGGCTATTTCTCTAATTAGCTATGTCCTTGTCACTTTATATTTATAGAATTTTTGCTAAAATTAGGCCCTTCGTGGGGAGGACACAAACTAGAATTGAAGGAATTATTGTTTTAACTCTCCTTGGGTTTTGTCTTTTGGTTTTTTAATAACCTGTTAGAGCAAGTCTTTAACTTTCTTTCTTCCATATCTTGTAATTGTTGGCTGGGAGCTTCCAAGTAGAGACAAGCTGTTTCTCAGTGAAGATTTGACTGTCTTTATGATGGCTTCTGTCAAAATAAAACAGTTTGCAAACTTAAAAGCTGAAGAGTGTCTTGGGTCAGTTGAAATAATAGTTGATTTGTTTTCCTGATGTGAAAATGTAAAAACTTTTTTGAACTGTGGTCAGTTTTTCAGATAATATCACATATATATGTGCGTGAAGGGGCAGAGGGGAAAGTTAAAATTCTATGCTGAACTGCTTTGGACTTGACAAATTTACTATGGTAAGAGTGAATTACCAGATTCTTCCAAAAGAAAAAGAAAATTAGTTTCCACTAAATTTACATTACAATTTCTCAGTGTGGTATAGAAATACTGTCAAATTCTTATGCTGACTGAAAACAATGTATGACTAAGAATTTTTTTAAAGTATGATTTTCTCTAAGTGCGAGTCTTTAATTTCTTGGTAGATGGATAGATAGAAAAGAATAACTGTAAAACCTTAACTTAAAATGTTGCAACTAAAAATGATGTAAATGAGAACTTAATTTTAAATATATGTGCATAATGCTAAGTAGTGTTGACTGTTTTAAGAAACTGAGGTAACAGGTATAAACTTTTTATGCTTGGTGTAAGCTATTTATGCTTTCCATAGAGCACAAGAGTTTTTCAGTTTCCAGTTGTGAGAAATTAGGAAAAAAAAGGAAAGACACCAATCTGGACTATTAAAGAAGCAAATGCATACTAGTGAGCAGAGACAGGAGTTTTGGGAAGAGTATAGGGACTCTTACCCAGTTGTGTAGAGATGAGGTTAGGAGAAGCAAGGTGAAGCTGGAACTGAATTTGGCAAGGGATGCAAAGCATGGCAAGGACTTTTACAGGTATGTTAGCTGGATATGGAAGGTCAAAGCAAAACTAGTAACAACAGATGAGGAGAAGGCTCAATTACTTTTTTGCCTCAGCCTTCAATGGCAACCTCTCTTTCCACACTTCATGAGTGGGTGGACAGCAGGGTGGTGAGTGGGGAAGCAAAGTCCCTCCCACTATAAGAAAAAAATCATGTTCCTGATTGCCTGAGGAAACTGAACAAAAATAAGGCTACAGGACCCAATTAGATTTATCCTGGAGTGTTGAGGGAACTGGCTGATATATCTCCATGATATCTGAGCAGTCAGGTGAAGTCCCAAGTGACTGGAAAAAGGGAAACATTGCACCCATCTTTAAAAAGTGTAGAAAGAAGGATACTGGAAACTACTGCCCTGTCAGCCTCACCTCTGTGCCTGGGAAGATCATGGAACAGATCCTCTCAGAAACTATGCTAAGGTACATGGAGGACAGGAAGGTGATTTGAGATGGCCAGCACAGCTTCAAGGCAAGGCCTGCCTTGAGGGACAGGCCTTCTATGGTTGAGTGACTACATAAGTGGGCAAAGAAAAGGCTACAGATGTCACTGTCTGCTCCTGGAAGGCCTTCTACACAGTCCCCCACAGCATCCTTCTCTCCAAGTAGAAGAGCTGTGGATAGATTGTTCAGTAGGTGAGGAATTGTTTGACTGCTGCATCCAGGGAGTAGTGGTCAACAGCTCAGAGTCCTGATGGACATCAGTAACAAGTGGTGTCCCTTAAGGGGTCTGTATGGGGACCAGGGTTATTTAATGTCTTCCTCAATGACACAAGGGGGTTGAGTGCACCCTCAGCAATTTTGCAGATGACACCAAGACAAGTGGTATGGTTGACACTCCTGAAGGATGGGATAGTCACCCAGAGGGACAGGGACAAGCTTGAGAAGTCTCATGAGGGACTTGAGAAGTCTCATGGTAAGGCCAAGTGCAAAGTCCTGCACCTGGGCTGGGGCAAGCCCCAGTAGTACCAGTAGAGGCTGGGGGTTGAAGGGATTGAAAACAGCTTTGCCAAGAAGAACTTTGGGGAACTGGTGGATGAGGGGCTGGCAGTGTGCACCAGCAGCCCAGAAAGCTAAACATCAAAAGGATCATGGTCAGCAGGTTGAGAGAGGTGATTCTGCCCCTCTGCTTCACTCTCTTGAGATCCCACCTGGAATACTGTATCTGTAATCCTCAGCACAGGAAAGACATAGACTGTTGAGAACAAGTCCAGGGGAGAGCCACAAAAATAATCAGAGAGATGAAGCACCTTTCATATGAGGAAAGGCTGAGAGAGCTGGGGTTGTTCAGCTTGGAAAAGAGAAGGCTCCAAGGACATCTGATTTCAGCCTTTCAGTGCTGGAGGAGGTGATTATAAGATTTGGATAGACTTTTTAACTGGGACGTTACTCTTTTCTGATAGCACAAGTAGGAATGGTTTTGAACTAAAAGAGGAGTAGATTGATACTAGATATAAGGAAGAAACTTTTACAAGAAGGCTGGTAAAACACTGGCACAAGTTGTCCAGAGAGAAGGTAGATGCCCCACCCTTGGAAGCATTCAGGGTGATGTTGAGTGGGACTCTAAGCAACCTGATCTAGTTGAAGTGTCCCTGTTCATTGCAGAGTGATTGGACAAATGACCTTTAAAGGTCCCGTCCAACTCAAACTATTCTGTGATTTTGTGAATAAGTAAAAATATAATACAAATTACTGACTGCATTATTTCTAATTGAATTTTTTTTTTTTCTGGATGAGTCTTGGGTCAGTATTTGCATAAAACAAATTTCCCCTGATTGCTGTCTGTCTTTGGAAAGAAACCATCTGCACCCACTAAGATGTGGTGTAGTGCTTAGAGCAGACAGAGTTTAAATGTAGGATTTGGTCTCTTGTTTAGATACACATGTAGGCAATAGCTGGTATTTGAAAAGCCATGTTGCAAAGAGCCCATTCTTTAATACCCCTGACACTTCCAGTGTCAGTGTGCACTCCCTGGTACGATATTCAGAGATGTAAGAATAACCTCTCTGAAACTCTTGTCCCTGATTCTGAGTGGTAAAAAGTAATTGTGTCTGCGCAGTCCATTTAAAGTTACTCTGTGGTGGTCTCCTATAAAGCCATTTGCACAAGAGCAAAAAAGGCTAACTCCAGTTTTTCAGCTGACTGCTGTTCTGAAGTCAGTTCCACATTATATACAGGCTATAAAATCAGTTTTGTTAAATTTAAATTTCCTGAGTTTAAATTGCAAAATAAATGCAGCTCACTTTGGAATATATATGAAAGCTTTTGTGCCTTCAGTACTAAGATTTAATAATTAATCCAGTTACCCATCACTGAGAGGGTATCATTTGACATTGCCTGCATTGGGCTTCTGAAATGGCTGATTAAATTCAAAACGTGGCTTGCATTCTTCTGATTGCGCTCTTCAAAGGATGAATGATCAAGTACAAATAATTGCTGCTTGGGCCGTGCCCACTATAAAAATGTGCCAAAGTACACATTAAGAGAGAAGGAAGTTCCTGTGCTTCAAAGCAATTCCAGCTAGCTGCTTCTAGGCAGCTTCTGTGAAAAGGTTTTGCCTCCTATTTGGTCAGTTCCGTTAGGGATTCAAAACATTTGGAAAAACAGAAAGTGTTTCAATAGTTGGTGTTTGCTGTTCTAAGATAGATTTGGATTCAATGACAACAATAGGTGAGTTCTCATATTTAAACTTACTTGCATCAAATGCACTGTTATCTCCAGAACAGTTGTTGATTTAACCTTTCCCAACTATTTTTCATAAAAGAGTGGCTAAGAAAAATTGAAGTATATGACCTGAAGCTTAATTTGGGGTTTTTATCCCAAATGGCTTTTCTCCGATGGAGAAGTTCTTTCAGATGTAGCTAAAAGTAATGGAAAGCATCCTGGATGCTTGTCACCTCTGGGGACTGAGTTTGTAAATGTTAATGTGGCAGGACAGGCTGTGCTAGCAAGGTTAAAAGTACTTGATGTGTTTTACTCTTGCTGAGGGATTGTAGGTGAAGGTGAGCATTAGGAAAGTATTTGAGAAACTTTCTGTAGAAAGCTTGCAAACACCCTTTCTTGCACTGCTGCAGGGCTTTTAAAAGCTCTTCTTTCTTTCTATGCTTTCAGATCTAAAATGTGAACAGAATAAAGTCAAGGCAAGATTAAATTAGGGATCATTTTTTTCCTTAAGTTTTTACTTTTCCAAGTCACCCAGTGACACAGTCTTTGACTTGTGCTAAGCAGGTGGGCGTTTTTGAAGCTTTGTGATGCAGGGTTACAAGAGGACAGAGGGATTCCAGATGCTCCTGAGAATTTCTTAGGAAATATGATGTAGCCATGTGAATTTTTCACTTCATTAAATTCCTATTGCTCCTTTGTTTTGGTTGCAGCAGTCTTTACCACTCTAAATCATAAATTAAAGGAATAGTTTTAACAACTTTTTCAGATGTCCTTGCACAAACTGACCCACAATGGCAAATGCAAAAATAAGGTTGTGTAGTTGCTTACACTTCTCAATTTTTGGACAATGTGTACTTGGTAAAGTTACCATTGCAGAATCTTTACCACTTAGCATACTTTGTATATGTTTGTGGGATTATATAATAATTTCGTCCCCAATTTATCACCGTTGAATTGGATTAGTGTGCATTGCTTTTGTTTTCTAGAACCATCCTCTGCAACTGAGGAGTCAAAAATAAAAAGGAGTGGGGAAGGGAGATTGGGAAAAATAATGGGAGCATGTGTTGAGATCTCAGAAATTACCTGAAGTTCTGTTTTCTGTAGTAGTGCAGGGAAAGCAAAACCTGAATGGTTTCTTCAGAAAGATTCGGAAGGGGACACACCTTCACTTATCAGCTGGCCCTCCAGGTATCATAAAACATAGCTGTGTGGCTAACAATCAGACTACAAACTCCCCTTTCTTTCCTTTTACTATCTACGTTTAACATTTGCCCTTAATTTTCCTTTAACAGCAGCAAGTAAGAAAGTGGATTTTTTTTTTGTGAATAAAAAGCTGTTGAAACTTTTCTGAAGCATCTGCTTTTATTCTAACTTAGAAACAATTGGTATTATGATGAAGAAGTAAAAATTCCCCAAGCTTCTTCCACAGCTGCTATCATTCTGGCTTCTACTAGATTTTATAACTTCTTATTTTATCTCATTTTCTGCTCTGCAAACCAGTGTATTTTTATACTGTATACCATTCCATCTCAGCATTTCCTACAAGTACCTCCTTGGCTTCCAAAGGAGATGGTACAAGAGAAGTAAAAAAAATTACATGGAAAAGTAAAACATAATCTTGATCAAAGCTACAGGCAGCTGCTTTCTCCTGGTTTGGTAACATATACAGTAAGCCCACCATGAAAAGCGTTGCAGGAAGACTGTTTTTCATGTTCCTGATTAAAGTAATGCCTATAACCCAGTACTAACATCGGTGTGAATGTTCTGGAGAATGCTTGTTACATGTAGTTCAAAGAATACTTCTTCAGACTTAACACACTTTATGTGCTTAAGCAGCTTTCCCTGACAAGTGCATCAATCTTCAGAGGTAAGAAGCACCAAAATATTAGAAAGAGTGGTGTTTCAAATAACTTTGAATATCCTGAATTATTCACTTAGATAATTTGCCTTTTTTTCCCCTGAATCTTACTTTTTTCTTAATGATATAAACGCCAAAAAGTCTGTTGGTAGCAAGCCTGGAATTGCACATACTTTGAGCTGGATTACTTACTTTCAAACAGCTAGTTTGACTCTCTCTCTTTCCTCAAAACTAAAATTATTTTTTCATTCCCATTTGGGAGGGGAGGAAGTACAGGGCTTTCATTTTTAATACTGTGTGCATTATCTGCAGCCCTGTTGGCTGTCTGAACCTCAGCAGGGTTGTGAAAGTGATGGAGAGCTTTACCTGCAGCAATAGCCCCAGAGCAAAGGCTGCCCCCGGCTGCACGTGCTTGCCTCCCACTGTGCTGCTGTATTCCAATTAGAAAGGTTAAATAAAACTCTGTTTTGCATGGGTGTTGCACAAGTCCAGAGGTGTTTCTAGAAAACACACTGAAGTAAGGTAACTTTTGGGAACAAGTGGTTTTTTGCAAGTTTGGCATGTTAGAATGTAATGAAACATTTTGAAACAGAATGCCTGTTTAAGTTTTTAAATCCCTTTTTCCCTGCAAGCTCTCTGAAGAGCAACAGCCATGCCATAGTTTTGCTTTTGGGTTTAGGACTTGCCCTTTCAATGTTTTTATTCACTTACTGAAACAGGTTACACTACGTGTGATTTTTCAGATGTCTTAAATGATATACAAAAACACAAGTAAACAGTCTCTGGCAAAATATCTGATGGGCTAGGTGGAGAGAACATGTTTTTTTCATCCCTTTCCCCAGGACATCGTCTTGGTATGATGTAAGCTTCCCAGTGTTTAGACATCTTCAAATATCTGACTGCATACACAGCTGCCAGTAGAATTTGCAATTTCAGGCTGAACCCAACACTCTGATAATATAAAAAGCAGTTTTGATCATCTTGTTTGTTTGAGACTATGGGTATGTGCTGTTTGGTAAACGTACTTGTGATCTTATGGGAACATGCTCTATGTTCCCAGAGCTTGCACAGTTACCTTCTCAGGAGTCATGCATGTCCATGGCCTGTGAATCACTTGACTGTTTTTGAGCAGTGTACTACTAAGACTTGGGGGGAGGAAGGGCTTGCATCATAAGATTGCTTTATTTTAATGTATTGGTTTTTATTTTACTGCAATGTTGCTGTCTGTACCCACAGTAGGTGTCTGTGTTCCTTTCCAGATTGGGTATTGCTGTTCACAGCTTTAATCCTTTTTCTTTCTTAAAGAGTAAAAGTTAGAGAGAAATTGGTGAAAGAGGAAAGTGCTCGTGGAAGCCCTGAACTTGTCACAGACACAGTATCTCAGAGAAAATCCCATCCAGTGCCAGCCCACTACATGCCTCTTCAGACAGAAACGTCTGCCTTTGATAGGGTTATAAATCAGCCCATCAGTTCCGTGCGCCAGCCAATCCATGGCTATATTCAGCCTGCTGGCATTGCTCACACAGCTCAGCTGATGGCAGCAGAAGAACCAGCCAACACCCCTGCTGGCAGCCTCCTCCCGACGGACAGTGTCAGCCTCGGAGCAAAGTCCTCAGCAGCCGCTGCATCAGAGAGTGAAAAGAAGGAAGCACCTGGTTATGGAGCAAAACCTGCTGAAGAAGATTCCTTGGAGGGTGAACAGGCTTCCAAAGGCAGAAGGCCAATTCTGCCGTCTGAGATTCGCAAGCAAGGGAAGAACCACGAAGGCCTCTTTGGTGGAGGAGAATTGGAGACCCCTGTGGGGAGTTCCTCCTTTGCAAGCAAGCCAAAAGTTAACTCAGAAGTTCAGAGGGAGTTGGAATGCAATAAGAGGCAGGCCCCTGAGCAGCAGTTTAAGACCCCTGAGAATGTAGAAAGGAGTGAAGCTGTTATGTACATACAGAGCGGATCTGTATTGCAGCCTGACAAGGCAAAGGCTCCCATTTGGAAAGTGTCAACAAAGCATAAGGTCCTGACTCGCTCCATGTCTGACTATACTGTGACTACTAAGCTAGAACCTTTTAAAAGTAAGGAGAGCATGGAAGCAAATCCACCAAATGGTGAGATTGGCATGGTTGACACAAAAGTCTCTGTTGCCCAGCTCCGTAATGTCTTTCTGGAGTCTGCTAATGCCAACAAGAAAACGGAACTGTAGGTGACATTTCACTCGTATTTTCGTGTGAAACTTGCACGTCCTTGGCAAAATTACACCCACTCAACAGCAGTTGTCTTTCGGCACTTAAAGCACACAGCTTAGCTCTCACCAGTGTGTACTGGAGGCTGAGATGGTTTGAATCCTGCTTTTGTGCTTCTGCTTGCTAATGCGAGTTGTGATGTGGGGTAGCTGGAATGTGTTCGTCTGCGCATGGAACCGGAGGAGCATGCAGAGTGATCTCTGGGGAGTTGATGAGATGCTTACATCTATGTTTTACTTCTCTCTCCTATTTTCTTTCCTACGTGCTCTCTGTCGTGCAATTTGAAAGTGACTCTCGGTTTGAGATGTCAGCAGCAGGTAGTACTGTGTCTGCCAATGGGGACCGTGAAAGAGGGCCACGAAAGGCAAGGCGCTATTTTACTCCTGGTGAAAATAGAAAGACTTCTGAGAGATTTAAAACTCAACCTATAACATCAGCAGAACGAAAGGAGACAGATAGGTAGGCATGTACAAAGCTTATGTGTAGCATTCTGATGCAGGTGGATATTAACAAGGTTGGAACAAGATTTGTTCATATATTAGAATAAACGTTTTGTAAGGTTATTGTTTGTCTTTAAAAACAATTTGTTGTAGCTTCTTACAAAATGAAACCCCAACCCCTCCCCCCAACAAAACCAATTTGTTGCAAATTCCTCCCATTTGAAATAGTGAACAATGAATCATCATAAAGTTGTCTGGTTGGAATGTTAAATGCTTTTGGTTTTATATAAAGGATTTCCCTTCCATCTCATTTACTCTCTTTGTAAACCACCAAAGGTACCTATTTTATGTTAAAAAGTTGGTAGCAAATCATAGACTTTTATTTTCTATTACAAGGTGAACTAGAAATAGTTTTACTTGATTGTATTTAAGTTTGGCTGCAATTGCTTGCATTTATGCTTTATTAAAGGATGTTCCCAAGTGGACACTGCTGAAACTTGAAAAACAGATAAATTCTCCCACTCTTAAGACTTTGAGGTCCTGCTACTTCAGATTGAATTTGAATTTAATTTCTGATGTCTTGTTTCCAGCTAACTTTTCTCTGTTTTATAATTTTTCACTAGGTCAATTTTGTATGCAGAAATACCAACTGCTGACGGTATGTTGCTGTACTGTTTTCCAAGGAAGAAATGGGATCTGATGTGTTTTATTTTGTTTTAACTGAAGAACTGTTTGATAATGCAAACAAAATCCACTTGAAAATATCTTTACCTATGATATATAGTTGAGATACCCCATTTCCTTGGGCCATATCTACTACAGATTTGATTTCAAACTCATTTTCAGTCCAAAAGTCTGTCTGTGGACACCAACTTCAAATCGGAGTCAAGTGGAGAATGGCTTGAAACTTTTCAATATAGTTGGGGTTGGGTTTTATCCTAATTTAGACAATAAATAAGATAGTTGTTGGGAAAAAATTAATCATTGGTCAGTTTTAATCACTGGTCGACTTATAATTTAAACAAAGCCTTTAGTATAATGTGAAACTGATGTTACTAACATGTTTTTGGCTAAGGAAGTTGCAAATGCAGGTTATTAAATTACAGAATTCAGTCTGCCATCTTGCTTCTGTTTCCCTCTGTCACCCTTGGCAAGTCTGGCACAAATTAAGTAGGTAATCTCATGAGTAGCTATATTTAGATCTAATGCCTTATGCTATTTGAAAGCTGATATTCCTTGCAGCTCTGAGATGCTGGCTCGTGTATCTGGAGGATGCTGATTTCAGCTCCTGAGGATACCAATTTAGCCTCTGAGAAATGGGGACACAAGGTAATCAGAATGGCCAGCTAGTACAAGGTAGATGTTCAGTACTCTTCACTCACCTTTAAGACAGTCTTTATTTTCTTAGTCCATGTGTTTTCATAGACTGATGTAATAAGTTTGATTAATCATCAGATGTTGTTTAGATAGTTTGAAGTTACTTGAACTGTCCTGAAGACAAGTCTTTTGTTTGCAAATCATGTCAGACTGCATGTCAGACTGTATTGCTCATTTGATGCAATTCATGTAAAAACAAGTAAAGTTTACACAGCTGGGTTCACAATAAGTTTTTTGTTTAATGTGAGAAACAGCCAGCTTATTTGCTGGCTTGTAATCATTCATATTAAAAAAAATATTACTCTTAATATGAGATTGATTTATTATGTTCAGCCTCCATTTTTTTCCTCTTTGTGTAGATGAAGAAAAATTGGATGACCGAGCCAAACTAAGTGTAGCTGCAAAGAGACTCCTTTTTAGAGTGAGTATTGCATTTTCTGAACAGGAGGTTGAATTGAACATTTAAAATACATGATGCTGAAGGAACCCAAAGTGCACTAGAATAAAGTATAATGCAGTTAACCAAGTTCAAGCTACATAACTTTTGTTTTTTACTTCATTCCCTACCTACACAGTAGACCTGTTGCCTGTTTTAAGAATGTCATTTAGAGAGAAGTGTGTAGTTATTTTTAACTCCATGGTGCATACTGTGTGGTTGCATCTTGCTTCTAATTTAGATATGGGCATTTGGGAACTTCACTGCTGTGCATGCAAGGAAGCTAAGAATAAAGTATTGTTTCAGAACTTTTCTTCCATGGTTTTAATTATGACATATGTCCTGTTAGGAAATGGAAAAATCATTTGAAATGAAAAATATTCCCAAACCACCTACAAGAAGTTCAGCAGTGGAGAGAAGGCTGCGGCGCTTGCAGGACAGGTCTCACACACAGCCCATCACCAGCGAGGAGGTGGTCATTGCAGCTACGTAAGTGGTGCATGCCTTGGCTCTGCCTCTGCCTCCTGCCTTCCAGTCTGGGAATAAGCTCCATAGCTCTGATGCTTGTAACTTTGCAGTGAGGAAAACATTTATTGCTAAGGGCCTGGAGAGCCACAGGGGAAACTATATTGAAATTCCTTTTCAAATGCAGAGGGACTAGTAAAGCATAACTTGTATGAACTGTAATTTGGCAGGAAGTTTAGGAACCTGTGGATTAGGTAAACGAGATTAATCATAGCATTGTTTCATAACCCAAATGAATAAGATAGTTTGTGCTGAGGGAACTCTGCACAATTTCTTATGGAATGTATATGTATTGGGGAAAACTTTTTACACCCTGAAATCTCAAAGGTACTTTTTGGAAATGCTTTTCTTGCACTGTATTCATATATTATGATGTTTTCCTCAAAAAGGGAAAATCATTTTGGGAGGGAAATTAAGCAACAGTGAATTGAATGGATGTTCACCTAATGTTCAGCTCTTAACTTACTTTATGGGTTAAGAATAACTTCAAGAGACAGCCTGTTCGTTCCTCTAGGTTTTTATTACTTTCAAAGTATTTGGAATTATTTTGCAAATGTCACAGCAGATAACTCAGTTAATTAAAAATTATTGCTGTTTGGTTTTTTTCTGTTTTGGTTTGGTTTGGTCTTTTCTGTAGTTAACACTTAATGTATTGCTTTTCTTAATGCTTTTTTCTTCTCTCTCCCTGTGACTTTTCCCTCCCTGGCAATTCTTTAAAGTGAAACTACCCCTGCTTCACGTTCTGTGAATACCCACACAGTAGTGACAAGAGTACCTAGTCCCACTGTAGTTAAGAGCACTGTACAACCTACCAGGTACTGGGGGGGTAAACATGCATGTTACATGGAGCACAAGATTCCTCAATAGCAGATGCATCTTTAAAGTCTTGAATGCCTTTTCAATGTGTCAAGTGAATACTTGTTTCAAGAATATTTAAAACATTCATCAACTTCATATATATTTGCATGATAAAGCAATGCAGCTTTTTTTTTTGTCAAGCGTCTGTTTTCAGGACCCTTCTAACCACACTTAACCTGTTGTAGAAGCATATTCTTCTTCTGAAAGAAATTAACGTGCATGTGAGCAAATCTAGCAGGATTCTTTTTGCTCTTGTAATTTTTTTGTATGGTAATGTCATCCTGAGATGAAAATAGCACAGCTGAGTGCTTGATTTCACAAGCAGCACATGTCCTTTGTCTGTCTCTACATGTATTTTTTTAGCTTGCAAAATTAAAGGAAATATAAGAAATTGCACCACCTATAGGTAAAGTTGCAGAATATTGTTCTGAATGAGAGAATTTTAGCAGAGGCCATGTCAGAAAAAAAAATAGAGAATACTACTAATTCCATAAATGTGAAAGAAGTTGAACAATAAAATATTTATAGTACAGATGAATAAAATACTTTACTGTAGAGACAAATGCAGTTACAGCTTTTATGAATGAATATGTCTGCCTTCAGCATTGGTCAATTTTCAAAATCAATGGACTGTGTTTCAAAACTAATTTTTGTTATTGATTTATCCCAGATAATTCAAAACAAAAGTCTGAATTCCTTTCCACTTCAGATTAGAAGAGTCATTGCAATTTATTCTAACTTAAAAGCAGCACAAACTCGGAGTTTAAGTCTGTCTTTTAAATGTCTTTTATCATATATGGTCCACAAATTGCTTTCAATAAAATTGAACTTTATATAAATTGCACTGTAGGACCTTGAAAGCATCTTCAATGTCTCTCCATAGCTCTGTGCTCTGTATAAAGAGATTGTCTGTAAAATCTCTCTTCAATCTTGAGTTCCCTCATAAAAAATGTTGTGTCCTAATCAAATGAATTAATGAATGAAAATGTAATATTTTTTTTTTTAATCTTCAGCTGTTGAATTAGCATTTATCATGCCAATGTTGAACCACTGCATACCCACTTAGGCTGCTACATTACATTGGCTATTGTGCTTCACATGCAGATCTTCTGCTTCTATCAGGTTGAGATTTTAAAACTGCACAATGGCTTCTCCAAAACTGATTTCCAGTTCTGCTTCTTCAGCTTGCAGGCATCAGCACACCAAAAAATTTTAGCTAAAGAGGAGATAAGAGCAGCCAAAGAGGCGATGGGGCAAGATCAGTCTGAGGAACCAGATTCTTCCACCTTAAGCTTGGCAGAAAAGATGGCTTTGTTTAACAAACTGTCTCAACCAGTGTCCAGGGCAATCTCCACGAGGAATCGGGGAGATCTGAGGCACAGGAGGATGAATGCTCGTTACCAGACTCAGCCAGTCACTCTTGGAGAAGTTGAGCAGGTAAGTGCCATCATAGCTCTTTTGCATTTCTTTTTATTGGAGAAAAAAGCTTCAGTGTAAGATACCATAAAGGCTGGCCTTTCCTTTGCTCTGAACTACACACAGAGGAAAAAGTTTGTCTGGAAGGTGCCTTCTGACATGGAACATTCCCTGAAGTGTTCAAATTTTTTGATATGGTTTTCTTTTTTTTTTTTTTTTTTTTTTAAGTAATTTGAGAGTATATCAACTTCCTGCCTAGTGCAAGTTGTACCTTTCACAGTGTGTGTCACTTCCACTAGAATGTTACATGTTGTCTAAAAGTAAATTCCTGATCAAAAGGCTGAAAAACTGAGACACACATCATTTTGCTTTAGGTGTATTTTCAGGGCATTCTGGAGTTTTGTCATGTGCGATTTTCAGGCTCTTTCCTGAAAGCACAATATATTTTCATTATTAGTAAGGACATAGTCTGTCATTTTCCTCTGGGAGGAGGCATTGATTTTTATCTGTATTTTTTCCCTAAAAGCAGAATACTTTTGAAATTCAGGAAGTCAAAGAGGAATTATTTAATGTGCAGTGAAATTTGGCTTCCTGTTCTGGAATACTTCATCTAATTGGAACTGCAAAGGAATGTCTTTTTAGTAAAGCCTCAGCATAAGGTGGCCCAGAAGTGGTCTTTTAGATCTCTTCACAATAGCAGAAACAGCAATCCCTTTGCATCACAGCTTGGAAAGAAATCGCTTTAACAGTGAAGCACAACTCCTGTGCATGTCATATTTCTATGTATTTGGATAAATCTGAATATTAGAAAGTTCCTACCATTTTCTTTCTATATGCTTCATTTATGATTATACATTTTCCATATCTTATAATAACAGGATAGTGAGAAAGCAGGATTTTTCTAAACATATTGGTGCAAAGCTGTACAGATTATAATTGTGCTTTATGCCTACTTCGGTTGCACATGAAGTAGTAATAAATGCTTGACAGATTTATTTAAGCAAGATTTCCAGACCTTACATAGTCCTTTTTCCATTCACTTCCCACGTGCCAATCACTGTCACAGTTTGGCTCTTTAATGATTGTGTCACTAACTTTTTTGGGGGCCAGTGAGTGGAAAAGGGCTGAAGCAGGTGGGGAAGAAGTGAGAGTCGCGTTACTTTATCAGACTTACAGAGCAAGCAAGGAAAATCAGAGGAAGCATGTTGTGTCATCTTTCTGAACCTAGCAAATGAAATCAGAGTTGACTCTGAGGCAAGCTCAATAGGAGTGTATTTTCAAAAAGACTTTCTACAGTGAACAGTTCATTGGAGTGTTGGGGGGTTTTTGAGATGCAGGTATGGTTTATCTAGGAAGAAGCAAAAGAGAGCTATCAAAATAGATAACTAGAGGTTATATTCCTAAAGTGAATATTATAAATATCTTGTAGGTAAAACTGAATTCACTTTTCTGATCTCCTTTAAATTTCTAATTCTGATAGATGCAATGGAAAAAAAATAAACTGGTAACTATTTTCTTAATCTTGCTTTGGAATCTCTGAGCTAACATATTCTTTGCTCTGCCTTCCAGTTTGCTTAATGAATGACTGTTGTCCATCATTTTGTGAATGCCATTCCTTTGTGGAATCTGCATGCACATTTTAGGTTCTGAGCTGATTTCCTCCTACTGGTGTGATCTTTTTTGTCCTTTTGCACACTGTTCACTAGCTCTGCAGTTTAAGAAAACAAAAAAAAACTTCACCAGATGTGTATGAGGCATGTTTGTCACTCTGTTTCATAGCTTTTGTGTTCTTTGGAGAAGATAAAGGAAAGATCAGAAAAAAAAATGCATCTTAACTGCATCTAGGAAAATTTCACAAAGTTATTATGTTAGAAGAGTAGAGAATTGTTCCACCATGGGGACTGGCAGAATAAATTTGGAAGTGTTTTTAATGTGCTTCTTAGGCTCAAATACTTTGCTCATGACAGCCAATGTTTATATTTGAAGAAGTCCTGCATGAAGGTGATTTATGTGGAGAGAGCATCAGGAATGTCTGCCCTGGGTTAGGACAGCACGGAACTGTCTCTCCCTGGCACTGAGTGGTCACCAGAGCTGGGAGCTGCAGAGCTGTGTAAGAGCAGAGCTGTGCCAAAGCTAATGAGTCCTGCTGAGATGCAGAGATGATGATTAGCTGGGCACATGGCATGTCAGCCGGCATCTGGAACCTGAACTAATTCCTTCCCACACTGCTGCAGGTCCTGAGCCCTGACACGATGTCAGGTTGCATGTTGCACACACACCCCTTGTTACTAAAGGTCTTGCTGTTCACATGCAGTTGTTTTTTCCTTGGGTGGAATAACCCATCTGCAGACAAATAACAAAGGCATTGTTGCTTTCCTTACCTGTTCTAGTCTCTTCTGGTAGAGCGCAATATTTACATGAAAACATACCTTGGATGAACTGTTGTGATAAGGCTGGTTTTTGAAATTGGTAATTTTACAGTTTATAAGTCCTATTTGGCTTCTTTGGATTTTTTTGTTTGTTTTTTTTTCCCTTCATAGGTACAGAATGAAAGTGGAAAGATCGCTCCCCTGTCATCTGCAGTTGCAACATCAATTTCAGCCATGGCCTCTGCCCTCGCTCCGTTGTTCGGGGACCTGCCCGGGAAGCCGGGGACTGACGGGAGAGGCAGCGCTGCCACGAGGTTCCACCCTGCAGCAGAAAACTTGGACTCGTCAGGAAAACGCTCCCACAAGTCAGAGCAGTGGCAGCCCTCAATGGAAGCACTAGAAAGCAGAACAGCATCAAAGAAACACGAAGAAGAAAGAAAGAGGTTTCTAGCCCATGAAGCTAATGAAATTAAAAAGTACAGCTCCTTTGAGGATGAAACCGCACATCCTGTTCCTGAAAAAACAGGAGACCACCATAAAGAGACAGCATACAGCTTCCTGAGGAAGGGCAGCTTGGAACTGTTTGGTTCACAAGCACTTTTTCAGCCTCTGGAACAGAAGGAAATCGATACTGCCATGCAAGGTAAATGGGAAGACAAAAAAGGCCAGTCCTTTGAAGAAAAGGTGGATTTGGAAAGTGTTATGAAAAGCAAGACTTGGCAAAGAGGTCTGGTAATTGCTTGCTGTTGGTGTGGTCTCATTCAGCAAATGGTGTTTCAAGCTTTATCAAGACTGGTTACATTTCCTTTTTCTAACACTGCTTAGAAATACAGAAGTATCTGTCAAGTGTTAAGTGTTACAAATAGAGACTGTCTTTTTTTTTATTCTTTAAATTTTTCAGTCTTTAAAGATGGCTCAGTTTTATTCAGATTTATTTACTTTGAAAGAAGTGGTATTACATGCTGAAGCTAAGACTTATTCTTTCTGGTTTTGCTCTTGCCCCTGCCCTCCAAAATTCAGAATAAACTAAACTTGCTGCTCTGAGTCAATTATCTGCCTTTAATTTTTGTCTTATTGTGCATACAGAGTTATGAATTACCTACATATGTGCATACATAATTAGGATGGGTAATTTTTAGATAATTAATTTTGCAAAACTAGTATTATTTTCTCTTTGATGTGGTGATGAAATACAAACCAGGAAATTCTCAGAGCAATTACATTTTTATATGCATGGCATAATTTAAACTTAAAAAATAAACTTACCCATCTTTAAATAAAGTATTTTGGAAATAAACAGTGATTTATGTAATTTCATAAATCCTATTCTCCCTGAATTTAGAAGGATGATTTATTCCTTTCCTGTTTTATTGGCATGGGTGACAGGATCACACTACCCTGTAGCACTAAAAGCATTTTTGTGTTCATCTTGTGAAGTTAATTTATTTTGAACTTAATGGTCTTCACACAGGCATAGAGAGAAAGGTACAGTTCTGCCTGTATTCTTCTAAAGCAGTATCCATTCTGTCCAATTAGCCTTTGATGACTGCAGGGGAGATGGAGACTGGAATATAATAGGAGCAGTCATATATCAGAGGGGTGTTGTGCTTAAAACATTTCAAAAAGAAAAATGAAGATCACTTATATTTCTTTAAGGGTAACTGTAATAGTGCATTTATCTTTCTTCAAGGCAGTTTTTTCCTGTGGTTTAATTGCAGCTTGGAAAAACAAACCCAGAAGAGCCCCCAACACCCTTCTAGAAAATAATACCTCTATTAAGCTATTAAATGTCCTGGTATGCTACTCAAGCATTAAACTGCTTTACCAAATATTTAATTTTCTTGTTTAAATTTTGTCTGCTTCTCTTCCCCTGCTCTTTGTTCCCTGTTACTTTCATCTGTTCGTTTTCCTGTAGGTGTGATGAGGGAAGCAGCAGGTTGTGCCTCACCCATGTGGAGTTGAGACCTGTGTGTTGAACATGAGCATGATGTTCTGTGGCTTCATGTGAACATCAGTCACAAATGGCTAGTCCCTGCAGCAAGTAATGCTGCACAATTGATCTTTGTGCTCTAGCTCAGCCAGAAGTTTCTCCCTGTTAGAATAGTATGTGATGTGAATGTTTAAAATACAGATTTGCTTCTTCGGTGTTAGTAATGTAAAGCGTCTTTGAGAATAGAACTAATTCAGCACTTCTCTTTTGAATGGGCAGACCACGCTGAGCCTTCTTCTGAACTCACCAGCACATCAGCCATGAGGACAGTTTCACAAACTGCAGCTGCAGCATCCTGTAGACTGCAGGAGCTCTCTGAACAATTGGAAGGCAAATTTTATAAGAATTCCTGTGAGATGTTTTCCATGGGAGAGAGCAAAGCACAAACGGCTGAGGATGTCCTTGATAATTCCAGCAAAACTATGTCAATTAAGGAAAGGTACTTAAATTTTTTCCTTTTTTTAATGAACCCTATAAATACAGTTATTATATTGATGATGATATAAAAAGAAGCTTTAAAACTGTTTCTAAAAAAGCTAAGTAGTGATTATTAGGCTTTATTATTACTAACAGCAGAAACATGCAGCTAATCTGCCTGACATGCTTATAAAGCAGATGCTGGTGAATGAGAATTATCATTCAAGAGAACATAAAAACCTGATTTTGAAAGAACCACCTGAATAATCAGTTAATATTTCAGAAAATTAAACCTGAAAAATGTACACGTTCTAATTACACTTATATATTCAATATACTTCTCCAGGTTCTGCTTTCAGTTATACAACAAGTATAATGTGATTCTGATTTATTTTAATAACCATTTCTTGTTGGTCTACAGGAGTATAAGCTGACTAGAGGGTGTCACAGATAGACTCTCTGATATTGCCCCACTACTTCAGAAGTACTTGGTTGCCATTTTGACTTCTTAGAACTTCCTGTAGGGATTTAAAAAGGATAGTAAGTTGGACACGTTTATAGGAGTACTAGAAATACTTTTTCCAACCCAAGAGCATTCAGATCTGAGGCAATACGTTATGTCCTGCACTTGGGCAGAGAGTGGGAGTTCAGGATTGAAGTGCCAATAGCTGCTGTAGTACTTGTAAAAGTTTTCCTAACTTAGTTAAAATTTTTAGAGTATAAACTCAGTCCCAAACTGGTAGCAGTCCAGTGAGTGAATTGCAATTATTTGGCCTATCTTTATTTCAGTTTTTCTGCATGAGAGCAGAACCAATAAATGAAAACAGCTGCCTGATTAAACTTTCATCTGTGTAAAAGTATTCCCTCACTTAATGAGGGGAGGGTGATATTAGGCAATCTGAATCTATTTTTATTTCTTTTAAATATAATTCCAAAATTTGCTTCTCAAATTCATGTGTTTCTAGGAGGTATGTGAGTCATTCTCATTTACAGATCATCCTCACTCCCTGTCAACCCCTTTAAGCAAAGGGGGTGCAGGGGCAGCTGCAGCAGCTGTGCAGTCCTAGTGCCCTTTATGAAGGCTGTACTTAACCTTTTTCAGTTTACTGTTGTTTTGTTTAAAGCAACTTTCATCTCCCTCCCCATCCCCCTCCTCTAAATAAGTAAACTGTCTTGGCAGATGAGGTTTAAGACCAGCAACTTCTGGTTTATAGGTGGTAAATGATCTACCATCCCTGATCCTGGTGGAGAGAAAGAGGTTGGAAGGAAGAGACAAATTTTAATAGCTGTTTCAGTCCTAACTTTAATGCCCCAGCTGAGTTGAACTCTTGAGGAATTGAAGCCTGTCAGTCACACGATCAGGAACTGCTTCCATTAGGAATCTGAGACTGTCTACTCAGTCCCAGAGCTGACAAAAGAAAATACCTGCTGTCTTGTTTGTATACCCTGATTCCACAAACATCTGTAAATGACTGAGCTCATATCAAAATGTTTTAGCCTTCCAAAATACCACAGTAGCCTCCTTCTTGTCCCAGAATTAAAAGACTACAACCACTAAGTTTCTTTCCTTGGCTGCAGTTCATGCCAAGTATTCATAAACATCAAAGAACATTTCTGCTAAAGATTAACTATTACACTTGGATTTCTTTTTCCTTTTACATTTACTAACTTCATCTTCCCATCCAGTGGATTTTTCTGGCTGTGTCAGACATTCTTTCACCTTATGGAAGAACAACTTTTCCACACATGAAATAGTATTTGGGCAGGATGCATGATTGCTGGTCTGGATGAAAGTGATTTTCCACAAAGACTTGCTTCACTGAACTAATACTATCCTCATAGAGTGGATGTATGGCTGGCATTTTCAGAATAGCCTATATTATATAGAAGAATGAAAATAATGGTTTTTTAAGGGGGAAAGACACCTATACTCTCTTCTCCTGTCTCTGTGCTTTTATTGAGACCAAAGGCCATCCTGTCAGCTCCACTGTAGAAGTCAGCTGCATGCCATGATCACCATTTTAAAAAGCTGCATCTGATTAATTTCTGGTTAACGTCTTACCATCATTCTCACTTTCTCAGGAAAAATCTAGCCTAAACATAGTTTTCAACCTTTTTTGATGTATGAATGCCTGAGCAGCATTTTCTTTCACAGTCTGGTTCCCACTATATTGAATTTATGCACTCTTTTAACAGTCAACTTCCTTTCTGTAGTTACGTATCTCATATTGCCCTCCAGGATTTATGATTTATCCAAAAAGAACTGGTCAAGTGCAGCCAAAGGAGAACATGTGAAAACCAAGCCTATGTGCAGTTTATTCTAGCTCAAGGAGACAACTAGCAACTAAGATATTAAAATATTGCCTCAGAAGAAAGAGTCATTTTGGACATTTTCTGCCAGGATTTTTGTCAAGGCCTTTCATGCAACTCTTTTTGTTTAGGCAAAACCATTGTTCAGATCTCACTTCTGTTTCCCTTCAGTATTCACTATCCAGAATTTTGTCTTCAGCTCTGAAAGCTTTTGCTTTGAGGCCACCCTGACACCTCTGGGATGAGGATCATTCTATCTTGATGTCACACAGTCTATCTCAGTAGCAGGTGAAAGAAGGATGCAGAGCAAGCTGTCAGAGATGGGCAGAAACACTAAAAGCTTTTTCTTTCAAGAAAAGAGTAGAACTTATTTTCTTCATATTGGAAAAGGAACTTTTGGAGGTAAAAGCAGTATGTCTAAACTGTGAAAGTGACTAATGAATGATTATTCATTATGTATAAAAAGCAGAAAACTAGAGGTATTCAATGAAAGTTGTAAGCAGCAGGCCTTAAACAAATCTAAGGGTTAGATCTAATATTCGCCTTATTTTCTAAGACTTTCCAAAGAATCAGCTGCTCTGTACTGCTGAGCTGGTGGGCTTACTTTTAGGAACCAATTCAGTAGTTCTTGCATCTTTATTCATACAAAAAGGTGTCCCCCATTCAGTTGTTGCTGAGTCAGGGCAGTCTGACCTTATCGCCACTTGCATTGTTCAAAAGAAATGCATGGCTTTAGGTTTTACACAGCAGTGAAGTTTTTATTGGCATACAGGGCATACATGTTTATTTTAAGTGGCAATTTCATTGCTCGAAACAGGCAAATGTGTGTTCTCACTTGTAGGAGTCAGTTGTTTCATTACACATACCAGTGAAGAATGGAGGGCTGCTATGAAACCATCCTTATGGCAGAGAAGAAAACAAAATCTCTATAAAGACACAGAAGTATTCTTAGAATTATAGATTTTTCTCTCTCTGATCAAGCAGGCTGTTTGGGTCAAAGGTCTACAGCAGATATCCTGTGGTAATGTTAGCTAAAAAAAAAACCCCAAAAAACCCCAAACCAAACCAAAAAGCCCTACTTTTTTTCCCTTGCCTGCTATGCTGAGTAGCTGTAAACATTTTTAAAAACAAACCCAGCTTAGACCAAAGCTGACCAATATACCTTCCAGCTTCAATTATCACAGATCATTTCTAAGCAAAACTGATTTGAGAGAACATAGCACTGAAGATAACTCATTGCATGGTGGCAATTCAGTCCCATCTTGGTCTCCTCCACAGTTTTACACATGCATGGATGCACTCCAGAAGATTAGTTCTGGGCAGTGAAATCTTGTGTCCTTTCTGCAAACAATGACCATGACCTCAGCTCCTTATTGTGAGTCCTTCTCACCCCTACTCATCCCGTGCTGTGAGGTATGAAGCAACCAGGCAATGTGAAGCCTGCCAGCACTGCCTGCCTGGGCAGGAAGAGAAGAAATAACTGCTTTCTTGAATACTAACATTCTTACTGCCATTGTATTCTGTAGATTTACTGTTTTCTGCATTCTTAGTTTTTCTCAAGTGAGTGCCTTAGGCCGGACTGATCATCCCCAGACAGGTCAGTAGCATGGTTGCACCCCCTGGATTTTTGCAGGAGGCAGCTGCCTGAAACTTGGCTTCTGGCTAGATCTCTTTGGTTCTACCCTTTCCTTCTCAGAGTTTCCAGACAAGATTTGCTGTGAGGGTGACAGTAATCACATCTCTGTAAAAGAACTTCAATGATATCTTGTGGTCAGAATAGGTTTAACTACTCAGCCTGTTCAAACATTAATAAGGTTAAGTGTTTGTATAATTCTTACTGAAATGCTGTAGATTTGAGAAAGGTATGTCATAAGATTTAATTAAACTAAAAAATTATTTAGTAGATCAATGCAACTGTTTGCAAAAATGCTGCACATACACATTTTATGGATTAGTGAGAATGATTTCTGAAGGGTAGAAAACTCATATAAATGTTGATTTCTGAGGAAATTAAACTGAAGAATCATCAGGCCTGTATAGACCTTATATTCCTGACTGACTTTCCCTATCCCCAAAAGTAAGCATTTGTATGGACAAATATAATTCTAGCAAAACGAATCTACATGTTGTCCCCACAGCAGCCAGTCAGAATTTTGCTCAAGATGAGGAAGCAGTGCTCTGAAAACATCCCACTTATTGAGATTAATGGTAATCCATATTTTCAATATAAGATCTTCTTTAAACAAGCTGAATCTTGCTGATAGATTTCACAGCTGTAGGGTAGTTAGCAACAGGTTATTAGTGCATTGGTGCTGCTGATTTGTGTCATGGCAATGCCTGGGCAAAGCAAGGAGATAGAAAGTTGATCCCAGGGAGTCTGATAAGTAACCTCAGCCCCTGGAGCTGTAATGAAAGCAGGAACTGCAGAGTTGTCCTTTGATGTGCCTGAAGAGACCTAATTGGTGTGTGCCTGCAGAACAGACCTTTTCTTCTTGGGCTTTAAAGAAAATAATTTTTAAAGCATTTTTTGATGAGTACAATGAAGACCACAGGTAGGATACTTATTCTTAACTTTGGACATCTACAGGATAAGTATCCATAGACAAGCTACTCACTTTCTGTGCCTTAGTGACAGAGTGGAGGGGAAAAAAAGCAGTTATTAATCTGGCCTTTTTATACATCTACTTTAGGACGATATGTGTTGTACCTTGGTCTCCCTTGACTGTATTGGCAATTTCCACCGATGATACAAATTAACTGGAGTGTCTGTCTCAGATCTGGATGTCTGTTTTGACAGATGATTGCTGTTCAACATGTACAGTATAAGGTTTGGTGTTTGTTTGTGAGCTTTGTATATGTATGTGAAATGTTAATAACTTAGATAATGCTAGAAAACCTAATTTCAGATTATCTTGAATGCAGCATTAGTGAAACAATGAGGTTATCTTTTGAGGATAATGGAAAGACTGTGTTAAAGCTGCCTGTTGGCATGTTTTTCCTTATAGGTTGGCATTGCTGAAGAAGAGTGGTGAAGAAGATTGGAAGAGCAGGCTCAGCAAAAAGCAGGAGTATGCAAAAGTGCCTCTCGCTGATCGTAGTGCACAGATGCAAGAAGTTGAGCAGCTGTTGAAGAAGGTAACTCTGTCCCTATTTGGGAAAAACATCTTGCTTGAAATGCTTTTGCTTTTTGAAGATGCATCCAAGTAGACAGGCATGCCTAATATTAGCTGCTAGCTCCTGCTACTCCTCTTGTCAGGCTTGTTTAAAAACCGATTCATCCAATGTGAGAGATTATTTAATGAGGAGGTCTTCACTGTCCTGGGATGTGTAATGGTGCTAACAGTGTCTTCACAACAGAAGATAATGAATTAGTAAGTGGGTCTGTAAAGCTTTTGCAGCATGTACAGATACAATGATTTAAGCCCTTTCTCCTGACCCCACACTGAAATTGCTTTAATACGTAGTTCCGATGTTTTCTTATGTAGGGGTGATTTTGCAAAAATGTCACATTCCTAACACTCACCTCTGTGCATACACTGGCGTTTTGACCAGTAATTTTGGATCCTAGAGCCACTGAGGTAATGCAGGTACTAGAGTATTCATGAGCCATTTGGCTTTTGGTTATCTTGCATGATCTTTGCAGTTTGTGAAGAGCCAGAACTGGCAGGACCAAGATTTTATCTGTCTTACAACAGGTAGTGAATGGAGAGGGAGATGGGGAGAAAGGTGTAGAGGAAAGGGAGATCCACATTGTTAGCACACTGATTATGTCTATACATGAGTAAATTCCCAGCAAGAGTGGATCTGCAAATTGGAATATTTACTGCTGAGGATCTGCTACCTGTGCCATACCTGCTTGTTTTGGTTCGGTGAAATTTTATTTCAGACTAAATTTAGCCTGGTCCTGTGGCCTGACTGCCTCTAGTAGAAGTGGTGTTGCATGGGAATCTTGAACTGCACTTCAGGGCTTGGTTTCATGCAAGTTTGTGCAGTCTGCAGTGTAAACCAAAATGCAGAAAGTGAGGATGAATGGGAGATTTGCTTCAAAATGAATTGTCCCCTGGCTCAAAGTACAGGACCAATGGAGACCTGTTTCCATTCTGAGTCAGATGAAATAGGCTCTCAAAAGCCTTCAGTTTCTGTAGGAGTACTTCACAGATGACAGGTGAAAATAAAATTTATGTTACAAAATTTGCTAGTGGGGACAGTAATCGTTGGATCCAATTATTTAGTTCTTTACTTCTATTAAATAGTATACAAAACAGTATACAGTTTTGTTCAAACAGTAACAAAAAGTCTCCTGTTCCATCAACGCATTACAAGTAAGGACACAGTTTGTCATTATTGAGGATAAATCTGTGCTTGAACATGTGAGTCATCAGTTGTGTTAACTGGACAGAAAAGAATAAAGCTCATTTTTGCAGTTTGGTTTGTGGGGTTTGTTTTGGTTTTGCCCTGTGGACTTGTTCAAAAATCCAGCTGCTAGTTTGAAAGACGTCCTAAAGCAAAAATAGTTCCAGGGAGGAAATCAAAATTGTGGTCACATTTTTAACAGGGTAGTCTCCAAAATGACAACTGTTGAGATCAGATAACAAATGTACTCCAGCTAAAGACAGTGGGGCTGAGAAAAAGCTTTAAACAGCTGCAACGATTTAGGCAGAGACAAACCCTTTGTTCTCTCTTCTCACCTCTCTGCACCCATATCCTCCCTGCTGCGTTTCCATGTGCAGCAGCTTCACTCAGCAAGCAGAGTCAGGCTTTTAAAGCAAGTAAGGGAGCATGAAGTGCTTGAGGGATACAAGCTTTGAAGTGACACTGCTAGCAGGGGAAGTTGCTGTGACACTGGGTCACCCACTCTGATAGTTCCTATTAGCTCTTGGCTATTTAGAGCCTAAATCAAAGGATTTTCATGCCTGCCTATGGATGAAAACTTGGGTGTGTAAAATACACAATTCCATGAACATATTGATGTTTGGGATGCTGATTCATTATGTCACACATGAGAAATACGTAAACCTTTACTAAGGTGACCACTTTACTTACAAGACACCATGTCAGCTGCCCTTAAAACTAGAAATACTGGTTTTAATAAGCAATCTGTATGGTGACTGTTATCCTTTGAAGACCATGAATCACTGTGCTATTGAAGTCTGTTTGTAGAACTTTGAGAATCTTAAATGTTTTCTGTTGCTGGATTACAGTAAAAATGGAGGAATTGTATTGATTACTGAATTTTGAGCTAGTTAGACAATTTCCACACATGGCAGTCATCAACATCATGGTAGCAACAGCAAGGGTGTGTAAACTTCTGTCATGCCCTGCGGATTCAAAACAATGCCTGATGTTTTTAGTTGCAGTATGGTGCTCCTAATAAGGTAGTCAGACACATTTTAGGGGTTTTTTTTGTGTGTGTCTGTGTGTGTCTCTCTCTTAAAAGGTTACCTTAATTCTGGAGATTTGATTATTGAAGCACAGCTGCAGAAATTAGATGTTTTTAGAGTACATTTAGATTTCATATAAACAACAAAAGTGGAAAGATTCATACTCTTAACAAAATAGCTACTTTAAATAGTGCTGTTTGATCACTTCTAGCCAAAATGCTTCTTCTTGGTGTCTACATGGTGAAATATTTATCCAAATGTGTTACAGTCATTTGTGTGTAGACTAAACTGTAGAAAAACACCATAAAATTCTTGGAAAAGCTGACAGAGCAACCTCACCAGGAAAAAAAAAAAAAAAAAAAAAAAAAAAAAAGAGAGACTAAGGAATTAGCACAAGCAGATACAGATGAGGGGGGAAACTGAGATTTACTTGGAGGTCCAGCATCTGTTTTGATGATTGCTGTACACTGGAGGAGAATTTTTTGGAAGCTGTAAGACTTCTTAAATTATTTATATATATGGTAAAACATATTTGGACAATTCAAAGAATAGCTCTAACATCAGGGGAACAACTGTCTGACTGGATGAATGCCTTACTGGAACAAAAATCTCTTTTATTTGGGAAAAATATTTGGATTTAGTATCTTTGTTTTCATCATCTTAGGCTGGATTGTTGTTTGTTGAATTTCTTCATTAGTAGAAAAATTAATTAACTTCCAAATCTTTCCATAATATCAAAATAAGAAGATTTGTTGGAATAAAAATTTCTGTTTTATAGTGAACCATTTTTAACAGAGTCCCTGATTAATATGATTGCCAGCTGCATTGCAGTTGCATTAAAGCAGTGACTGACATTTGAAACACTTCATTCTTGCATTATGTTTAAACTGAAGCTCAGCACTGGTGTTAAAGGCTAGGGCTGAACAGTCATTTCAGAATTACTCAGAGATGAAGTATGTAAAAGTTGTAGAGAGGGTAAGCCCTTGAAAAGTGACTTTTAGGCAATAAAATATTAGTCTTTTGCTGTGGTAATAGTTTTATCCATTTCATATATGGTATCCACCAAGTGCTTGTATCACATTCTCATCAAAGCTGAAACTAATTATTAGCCTTCATTCTGAGCCACTCTAATAAGCTGTATTTATCCATCCACTGTGCCATTTCCCCATTTGCTTTAACCTACAGAAAGGGAGAAGAATTAAAGCTGATAAAGCCATATCTAATCAGCTTTGGGTAAGCCCAGCTCTGGGGCAGGGTTTATTTGTAGGCTGTGTTTAGAATGGTGAACTCACCTTCACTGAGTACCCTGGGCTTAGCAAATCCTTCCAGATGGCTTTTGAGTCTCCCAGTTTCAGCAAGCATTCTTTCCTTCCATCCAGAAAATAGGTGATTTGCTGTTTAGCAGCGTCTGATTAAACTTGCAGCAGAATTATTTACATTGTGGTTGACACAGTTCATCAATTTAATGGTGCATGAAAACAGAGACATGTAAAAATTATCAGCATACGAAAAGTGTATCTTCCAGCTGTGCTGTTTTGTTCTCTGTTGGGTTGTAGTGATATTGTTACTAACTTGGATCATTCCTGCATGGAATTGCTTTGGTAAACATTATGTTGTATTATGACAGCATTTTTGATCTCTGCTTTCCAGCAGGGAAAACATTTCTAGAAGATGAAAATATTTAGTAAGAAATAAGAGAAAGAGGAGTTATTTCTCCCCCATTTCCATTCCTGGCAGTCCAGTTCTTTCCTAATTTCTTTGCTCTGTTTCTGTCCTTGCCATAGGGACCTGTATATGCTTCTACTTATTCTCCTGTTATACCTGCTCTCCATAAATTTCATCCTTTTCTACCTATTAATCAGGTGAGCAAAAGTCTGCACAATTTAAATGCTCAACAATTTCAAGTAAGGACATTTTACCAGTGTTTTTTTGAATGTATTAAATTGATAATCCTCTTAACTGATTAACCAGTTCAGTAAAAGTAGCTTTAAAGAAACATAATGTTATGCCACTATCCTGTGTACTCTTCTTCAATATACATTGTGCTACTATTTCTCTTATGGTTACTTTTCTAAAAGTTCTATATCTGTTTTAGACTGTATAGGTGAGAAAGTAAAGGAAGGAAACATTATTGCATTCATTATAATACTGAAAACTTGTAAGTTGCTAAAAAGGGTGTATAAAAGGAGAAGTATGGAACTACACAGCATTTACTTTAGAATAAAATGCTGTGTACCCTGACCTCCCTGTAAGTAATGTGCATGTACAATGTAAGACATATTTTATCATCTAACTTACTGACTTCATTTTCTAACTGATTTCATCATCTAACTTACTGACTGTAAAAAAAAGGCTTTTGTTGAAAGATGACTTTTCCACAGTGCTTTTCTCTAGTACCTGTGTAAAGGATTTTTGCCTTGGCACATCCTGCTTCTATTCTCTAACTATCCCATCTTCCTGCTTATCTCTCTTCCTTTAAGGTCTGTAGTACTAGTTTGAAAGAATCAAGCTCTCTGATTTCTGATGACCGTCATCCTTGGAGATGGAAGGTGAAATGCAATATAAAATTTCTATTTAATTTTTGGAGGGAGGAGTGAGACAGAAGGTTACACTCAGATTGATGATGCACATTCCTAATTTGTGTTTGCTTGGGAACAGAGTTCTGCTGCTGCTCCAGTAAATGTTAGAGAAGCTTCCTTGTGAAGTGTTCCTCAACATCATGTCTGTACCTCTGCAATTCCATCACAGACAATTTTAAGAATTCATAGAGAGTGAGAAATATAAACTTTCTACAGCCAGAGCAACGTAATAAAGTTTTCTTTGAGCAGTAGAGTACTAGACCTTGATCTGAGCAAGCCATACCTGGTTCACATGATCAGAGGTAAAAAATGCAAAGGCAGAAGTGGGCAAAGAAACAAGCTGCAGAAAACCACAAGACTGGAAGATCTGAATAGATCTATGTAAATCAAATTCTGCTATGTTACACCTCTTTGTCCCTTGCCTCCCAGCTCACACTGGTGGTTCCTGTGCTACAGAGAATCCATTGGGCTCTTCCTTTCTGTGGTCTATGCTGCATGCAGGGAGCTTTCTGACCAGCATGGATAATGGCAGTGAACTCAAGGAACAGCTACTGCTGGGTTGGGATGATGAATACAAAAGAGGCTCCTGGATATATTGCAAACATTTAGGCAACTGATATTTACCATTTCCACATTCACTTTCATAGCTGTTCCTGAATATTATATTTTACTATGAGATTTTTAATTAAACATTAAATTTTGGACTATTTGAAATTTGTTAGGGCTACCTCTTTCCTATAAGCTGTGGATTTAATATAGCTTATTTACTTCAGATCGCCTATTAATCTGGTTGTGACAGAGTTCACCAGCTTTATGTATCTAGAAGATAACAGTATAGTCTAACTTAATAATAACCCTCCAGTAATGACAGGAGGCCCTTCAATGAGTTATTAATTCCATCTGTCTTAAATGGAAAACAGCAAAAATAGTGTTCATTTTTCCACTGACTCTGGTGAGCTGCATCCTTCTCTCTTAGCAAGCTACTTCTTTCTAGCACAGTGTCAAGGTACATGCAGACTTGTTTGGGGTTTTTTTATGGCACAGTTAATGACTTTGTTATTTGCACCAAACAGAAGTTGAGTGTGTTCTGTTTTCCTCAAAGCCATTCTGAACAGAAAGGCATACGTTTGCATGGGGTTTTCCCTCCATGTTCTCTTATATGGAGGCCCATATGAAGTTGCAGAAGAAAGCAACACAGAGACATTTTACCATACTTGAACAACTGTTGGATTCTCCTTATGCTGTTTTGTCTTAGGAGTTTAAACTAGAGAAGTTACTTATATTAAAAAACAGATAGATACTTCTTGATTCCTTAATTTGTGTAATTCATAGCATTCATTTTAAATAGAACCCTCTTTTGAAAGCCAGATTTTTTGTGTTCATTCTTGGTTCAGACTCCCCAAGGTAAGGGCAGTCTTGACCTTCTACGTAGAAAACCATGAATTATCTTTTTTCTTAAAAAAAAAAAACCAACAAAACCAAACAGCACACCAGCATGCTAACAGACCTCTCTCAGTTCTTGTGACCTAAAGGGGACCCTGCTTGGACTGCAAAATTGTAGGAGCATTGCCTAGATGTGGCCCCTTCCTTAGCAAAAACAGGGTAGTGCCTGCCATACCCTCAAGAAATGTGTTACAGTGCTAGAAAAGACCAATATCATCATCCAGCCTAGCCAAGCTGTAGGAGAAAGTAATCCCTGTTCCTAACTGTTCTTGCATTGAGTCTATAAATCCTTCCCAGACTAAAAACAGAATCTTTTAGAAAAACACGCAGTCTTAATTCTAAACTGTCAGCCTACAGAAAATTCTTGGCAATATTAAATCATTTTTCATATGTTATTATTCTTGCTGTGTTAAATGTAACTCTTAACCCTTTCTTCAGTGAAAATACATACTTAGCTGATATAATCTGAGGTCGATTTCTCTTTTTTTTTTAAATATTCAGCCCTTTCCTGAAACCTTTCAAAATTGTCAGCATCCTGGGTAGAAGCATGGAGTCTGGAAATGGATGAGTTATTCCAGGACAGATTAACTGTTCTGAACAACTTTCCATGGGAGTTTTTGCCTCTCTTCTTTTTCTCTCTTCCTAATCAGCTGGGTTGGTTTTTTTTTTTTTTTTTTTTTTTTCCTTTTCAAATAGCATTTCTCTTAAAATCTTGATTTACCAGACTTTTCTGGTATCCTCTTTTTTTTTTTTTTTCAACCATCTGTGTCTTCATCATTCTTCTCTATGTTGGTGTCATCATGAGGGTCTTCTCGGGATAAGACTACATCCTTCATTTTCCGTGTTCATGAAAACATTTTGTTCAAATTTGGGATGAATCAGATCACTGCATGGCTCTTTCCTGTTTGGTCAGTTTACCAGTTTGAAGCCTGTAAGCTGCTCTGATATTTTTATATTGCTCAAAAAAACCTGCCCCAGAATGTCATCTGTGATTAACTCAAATATATTAAAGAAATCAGAGGTAACAGTGCTAATATATTTAATTATACTTGAGCTCATCAAATTTACCATTTTGATTAAACCTGTTTTCCATAATGCCATGTGGAATGGCATTAATTACAAGCTGGTTATTTGATTCTTCATTGATTGTCTTTGCAACAGCTTTTCCATAGGTGTCTGGAACAACCCACAGCTTTTGTGACCTGTTCCTACATGCTTTAGTTTTATTTCTAAATATTGTTCACATTTGAGCCTTTATCCTTTTTATTTCCCCATTTTCAAAGGCTTTTTTAAAAAAATTGTTCTTGTGTTTTGGGGCATCTCATTTTCCAGCTTTTTTGTCTAAGGTATCAGTGAACACATCCATCTATTTTACACAATATATTAAAATATTTCATTGAAAGTAGCCACTCTTTTAATGGAAAAAAATTGCATTGGAGCTGTTTTATTCCTAAGTTTTTATATGTTATTTTTATTTATTCCTGATATACTATTTTTTGGGCTGACTTTTTTACAGTTGCAAAATTGAGGTTCTACTTTCATATCATAATTTCTAAGTTTTTTATCTTAGAAATAAAATTTGGACTTAGAAGCTTCTTGAGTTTTAGTTTTCTTAACATATTATCTCCCAACTATAATGTGTATTGACCAGTTAATTCCTCCACAAATGGTCCATGTGGCAATTCTGAAAGCTTTCTAAACTGTTCCCAACTAGCAGGTGGATGTTTTCTGAAATTTTTTTTTACAGTTGCATTGGCTTATATTAGCTTTCTAGTTATAGAAAATTATTATTTATTTAATCATTTATACTTCTGGTTTTCAGCAGCACTGTTAAGGGAAATTTAGTGTATTGGGAATTGCTTGGTGTCTATTTAGTTTATAATTTTTTAGTTAATTTGTTCATTAATAGATTAAGGTAGGAGTCTTCATGCATTAGGAAGAGATCTAGTATGGAATTTCTCCACATTGTATAACATATGTACCCAGTCTGATCTTTTTTTTTTTTTTTTAGTTAGGAACTCCAAAGGTACTTTGCCCAATGGAACAGCTTGAAATATTCCATCATTAAAAAAAAATAAAAAAAGGGAAAAAGAAAAAAAAAGTCTATTTCGCCTCCTGTCTGACAGCTGTTTTCTTTTATCCTTTGACACAGCTCCAGAATTACTGACAATCTTTCTGGCAATTCATGTGTGTAGTGATTAACACACATATTTCTAGGTCTGCATCTTCAGAATTTTCAGTAGCTCTGTAGACTCTGAAACTCCAGGTATTTGCTGGAGACAAAATCCAAAATTAAGACTCCTGTAAGGTTAAAAACACAAACTCAAATCCATATTATTTTACTTCTTTCTGACTCTCCCTCACTTCCCTCATATTTTAATGGAGGTCAGCATCCTTACTAAGTTAAAAATATTTGGTTTGTGTATTAAATTTTACCTGTGGCTTCATTAGGTATTTATTAATTTTGTGCCCAGGCCTCCTTTACTATATTGTGGTATTTTCTACCAACTTTTCATCCCAGAGGTGGCTGTGCTGACACTGGAATGGGTAGAGACTGGTAGAAATGAAAGAGACTTCTTCAGTGCTTTTCTTTAAAGCATTCAGAGGCTTTGACAGATGAAGAAATTATACTGAATAGACTTGTATGTTGTTATTTCTATTGAATGTTTCAGAGTTCTAGGGAAAAAACAGAGTATTTAATGTTGATTGTCATGGCTTGCAGTCCTATTGTCTGGCTGTCCAGCTCTCCTTCCTGATAAATGGAGAGGAAGTGTTACTGCAGAAATATATGGAACTAGAGGGAAGTAGTGGAGGACTGTCATGGTCCTAGTCCTTGTACAGACCTTTTCTTGGCTTGTCTTCATTCTTCTGGCTGATGTCTACTGATGCTGGTAAATGCTGAAAGCTACAAAGTCTCTATATTAGACTGCAGTCACAATTGTTTTTATATAGAATGACTTATTTATTTAGTCTGATTGATTTTTAAGAAAATAAAAAATAACAATATCTTCTTTGTATCTTGAAAGGAGAAGAATGTTTATGTTCACAAGCTGATGCATACTTTTACATTTCCTTCTGTGGTTCTCTGACCTAGAGTGGTATTAAAGCTTGAGATTTTAATTTGTTTTTTTCAATTCTAGCAGCTAGGTTGTGAAGAAAAATTATGATAGCATCCACTTGGAAGTAATTCTAGAGTTGACAGTCCCATGCACTAAAAATACTTCTATGTTTGACTACTATGCAGTGTAATCCCTGAATTATTGACAGTTTTTAAAGATAAAATAACAATAGTCCTTTGGCCTCACCTAGCTGCAGCAAAGTATGTAAATTCAATTTCTTTCCTACTTAAACTACCATCATCAATCCATCTGTGTGAGAAGGGCACTGAGATACTGCACCTTCTCCCTCTAATCACTCCAGCTGTTGGCTGCCAACCTCTAAAGCAAGAAAGGAAAGCTAAGGGTGAGGTAGGGGAAAAAAAAAAGAGGGTGTGGTAGAGATGATCAGTGTTGGAAAAATATTTAGTTGAGCAAGCTGACTTTAGAACTAAAACGAGCAGCCTCTGGAGAGGCGGATAGTCCTGCCTGGAGAACTGAGTTACTGTAAGAGACTGATTAGGAATCAGCCACTGAAGTTACATCACTTCTCTGTTTTGCCCTGTGCCACCTGCAGATCTGCACACTTGGAAACATCTGCCCATAGTCAGTAGTGTTCTGACTTGTGTAGCAAGTCATGGTTCAAAAGAACAAGAATCATGGAAAATGATTTCATACACAGAGTAAATAGTTTGCTTTGCGTAGAGGAGTGGCATCTGCCGTCTATGGTAGTCTCAAGAAAAGGTCACAGAGCACAGACCTTGTACAGACCAAAACCTTGTGCTCACAGTGTAATGGAGCAGCGAGACAGTGAAGCACTGCAGGGTCACTAAGCTGTGTGTGACTTCACTTCAGTAGCTTGTTCCCCACTCCCTTCCCTCTGCACCTGACAGCTGAAATGTTCAGCCAGTCTTTAGCTATGTCTCTAGCAGGTTTTTTAAACATCTCTTTCTTTCTTTCATTCCCCAAAAAAGCAAAGAATGACAGATAACCAGGAGAGTCAAATGACCATTGAGGAGAGGAAACACCTGATAACAGCTCGAGAAGAAGCCTGGAAGTCCAAGGGTAAAGGAGCAGCCAATGACTCCACACAGTTCACCGTAGCTGGCCGAATGGTAAAAAAAGGTCGGTGATGAAATAATCCAAATATAAATAAGACACCCCTTATCTGTCTAGTCAAAATTAAGTCAAACTAAAGCTATGCAGAAACAGCATCTGTATTTAGCAAGAGGAGGACTGTTTATCTTCAACTGAATATTGTGTCATGAGGCTTTAGTTTTTTGTGGGTGTGGTGTTGATCCATTTTATTCTGCACTGTGCGCTGCCATCCACTTATCACTGGGCTGTGTCTAGCTGGTGGAAATCTATGACTTGAACAGGGTTATATGTTTTGGTTTTCCTTTTAATGCAACCCACAGGACATTGTTGGATTATTCTTTCTTACTTATTCTTCCTTTGAAAGCCCAGCTGCACTGTCTAGAGAATAGTTGTGAAATCGAGTTGTTTCTGTTGCTAGCATTTCCCCCTCGGATCACTGGGAATATTTAGCAAACAAGTATTGTTTTTATGGATGCTGTCTTGGACAACAGCTTGAAGTGTTATGTTCTGCATAAAACCACAGAGTAGAAATGACAAGGGAGCAATGTTGACTTTTTTGGGATCTCTTGAATTCAGTCACTGTTTCCAGATCTAATCATTGTTCTAAAGTGGACAGGAGTCTCTGAAGGCTGAACATGGTAGGAATGCAGCTGTTCACACAGCATGCCTGCAAAGATGATAGCTTTGGGAGGAAGGCACCTATACTGATCTTTTGTGCCTAATGAGTACTAGGTTTTGGGTTGTTGCAAGGACTTGATTATTAAACACAAAAACAATGAACCTTGAATTAAAAAAAAAAAACCTTGTAGGGCTAGGACAATACTGCAACAGGAGTAACTGCTTGCAATCCAAGCCACAATCTGTTGACAGAAAAACAGATAAACAGTATTAGGAATTACCTCTGTTAATAACATATTTTAGCTGCTGCTTACATTTTACATAATTTTGCTGCTAGAAATGACAGTTGGTCACTATTTAAAGAGTAACCCTTCTTTGAGGGTCACCAAGTAAAACTGTTTAGTTGTCCACAGACCTGCTCTTTGACTTTTTTTTTTTTTTTTTTTTTTTTTGCAAATAGATTGGTCTTTGGAAAGAAAAAGCAGGTGGTAGCATTTGCTCTTCCTAATAAGAAAAAAAATTATCTTGAAAGGATCTCCTTAGGTGCTATGATGATTCTTTTGAAGAAGCAAGGTGATGCAATGACAATGAAATCAATAAAAGTAGCCAAAGTGGGATTTTAGTTATATGCCTACTAGTTTATATCCTGAAAGAATAAATTATCATTATGAGTTTTTAATTTAAGAGATTATGAGAAAGCAATGCAAAATAACATCTTATTACACATGTTATATGCATGTGCACAGATGCTGTGTTTTAATTGCTTCTTATGGCTGAAAATTATTCAGTCCTAATTGGAAGATGATCCTTTCCTAAGCAGTTCTCAGTGTGGTCTTGTGGATTATGTGCTGGTAGAGCTGCTTAAGAGCTGTGTCCTCTTGAGTGTATCTCGAGGAAGGCTTTACCCATTGACTTAAAACCTGCTGGAATTTTGAGTCTCTTAGGTAACAGGGGAAAAATTGCTTGTGGAAAAGCTACCTAGGTATATTACAAATTTAACTTGGAGTTTAACAATTATGAAAATTATGTTGCTACAACTTGCAGTAAAGGTATTGGAAACATGTTTAGTGTATGTTCTCCCAGCACAATATTGGTTTAATCTGATCAAAATAACTAAAGGCTTAAACTTACATGGCTCAGTAATTAGTAAGCTATGGCTAAGTGGAAAATAGATAATAGAGAAACATGTAAATGTCTGTTTCCCCATTTACTGAAAGTCTAGGCAGCAAAAGTTAATAGGTGCAATTGTTTGCCTTAGTATGCTTTTCTACCTAATAAAACCTAGGACTCCAATAGAGTGCAGTTCTCTTGCTAGAGCAGTGTAGATTCACATGAAAAACTAAAGCTAAAAAATCCATCCTTATTTTTTCCACTGGGTCCAGAATGAATTGCTTTATGATAATTACTGAAAAGGATGGAGGAGAGTGTAACAAAAGGAGAGGGTAGTGCTTGATATGGTAGAGACTCTAACTTCCATTTCTACTTCAATTTCCATGTGTTCTTAAAAACCCAACAGGGCCCAAGAATTACTGGGAAATCCAGGGACAGCATTCACAAGTCAGATGCATCCTGTTACATCTATTAATAGAGATGTGCCTAAATTTTAAAAAGGGGGTAAGCGGGTGGTAGAGGTGATCATGGTTACTTCCCTGCTAAACGTATCTTTTTGTTCAGAACACTTCCATGTATTTTAATGCTTAAAATGTAGTTTCTGGTACCCCTGGAAGCCAAAATGTAGAGCAAATGAACTGCTGCTACCTTGAAAAGGAGCAAAATTATTGTATTCCAGAGAAAGCCTATATCTTGTGTTAGCTTTCTGTGGGAATGCAGGGCTTCCCTCTGGCTGCCCTGGCAGGTCTGGGACCCTGGCAGGGGTCAGGAACCCCCCTGTACAGAGCCCCGAGAGACACTGTCTCTGATCTCTGTCCATGGAAAAGAGTTTTCAATCTTACAGGATGAATGACAAGCTCTGAGTGTTTGATAAGAGTAATAATTAAGTGTGGCACAGGTGCAAAAGAAAAATTTTAGGATTCTAGATTAGGAGTCCAAAGGGGACAAAATGGAGGAAATTGGGTGTGTCCTGTCCTTTTTCTCCTTCTTCATGCCCTCCATGTTTCACTGTAGTTTTGGCATTTTTCTATTGGTTTAGGCTGGGGACGCACTGTTCAACGTAGATGACAGATATTGGCACATTATTGTAAATATAGCACAGGTAGTTTCTGGTATATAATGTTTGTACCATCCCACTGAGGGCAGAGCCCCACACGCTGCCCTGCAGGACAGACCTGCGGCAGGGCAGCAGAACATGTTAGAGATAAACAGAATAAACAACCTTGAAACCAGCACAGACAAATTATGGCTTCTTGGGCAACGGGGCAGAAAGACAGAGACTTTCTACAATCTCGGAATCACCAGTACCCACAGATTCCGACAGCTTGCTAAGAGACACTTGGAAATGAAGCTTTGTTCTTGTAAATGGGTGGGTTTTTGAGGCTACTCTTGATTAAAGGAGCAGGCAGGCCCCTTTGCCATCTCTAATACAATGGCTGGGGAGGCTGGGGAAGTGTGCTGGCCTCTAGGAAATAGCCAGACTCGTCTGCTTTCCCCAAAGAGCTTCTCTGTTGTCACTGTTGGAAACACAGGCTGACTCATGGCTGCATTTCCTATGTTCTGTGTCACTGTGCAGGCCTGGCTTCTCCAAGTGCACTAACACCAGTAGCATCCCCTTTCCGGCAGAAGTCCACCACTCCAGTTACAAAGCCCTTGGAAGGTAAGGAATAAAAATGGCTGAAATATATTCAGGCTTATTTGCTTCCTGTCAATTAACAGGTTTTACTTTCTGGTTTGCTTAGAAATTGAAGCCAGGCCTGATATGCAGCTGGAATCAGATATGAAGCTTGACAAGTTGGAGTCATTCTTGGGAAGGCTGAATAACAAAGGTTGGTAGAGTTATGAAGGGTGGCAGTGTATCTGCTCTCTGACTTCAGTAAATTGATTAAAGTGCCCCTTAGTTAAAATATCTGGTAGCAGAAACTGGAATATTTCTTTGCTCAGACTGCAGTTACTGATAATTTTATTTTTGTGATTCAGTCTTTGCTAAATTTTAATAAAAGCCTTTCACAATTTTATTACAAGTGTACAGTAGAATAAATCACAGATGCCTAAATAACATTCTTAATTCTCTAGAAACAATGTACACATCCTTTTGTAGAGCATAATTTCCTAAGAGCACACAGCCAGTCTGAACCATATTGCCATATACATGAAACATCTTTAAATGTAGTTGAGTCCTATTAAAATCAAAGTAGGATACTAAGCTGCTCCCAAGCACAGTTAATTCCCTTTCCTGCTTTTTTGAAAATTGACTCTCTGTAGCAGCTCGTCAGCTTCCTTGTACAGCCCATTGGCTATTTATGAAGCTCTCTAGAGTTGTCTGGTTTCCATCTCATATGTCTGTCTGCCATTTGTAAGACAAAAATCTTTATTACATCTTTACATAATTTGTAGTGTAACAGATACCATTTCACATTTCAGTACAGGGGGCAGCAGCCTAGGATAATGACTGTGCCATACTGACTAGTCTGAAGTAGTGACTTTTCCCCTTGTGATTCTAGATCTTTTCAAAGGCAGGAATTACACAGTTGGAGGCAAGATAAAATATACAAAACCTTAAAATGCTTGCATCATCATACTCTAGAAACTCAGTTATAGCATCCAAGTTTTTATTTAGCCTTATTTCCCTACTGTTTTGTATGATTGTTGCATATGAGTAGCAGTTACACTGTTGTAATATTCTTTATCAACACACTTTTCTACCATCAATTTAAAAAAGCAACACAAAAAAAAACAACAAAAAACAAAATACCACCACCACACCGGAAAAAAGTTTACTCAGACAACTACCAAGCAAGCCATGTTTTTCTTTTCTAGAGTAAGAAAATCTAGTATGGTTATTTACTGGGTGAGGTGTTTTCTCCTGCAGTTTCTGGGATGCAAGAGACAGTGCTGACAGTTACAGGAAGATCTGTGAAAGAGGTGATGAAGCTGGATGATGATGAAACATTTTCCAAATTTTATCGCCATGTGGATTTCCCTTCCTCCTCAGTGCCTTTGGACCTTGATGAGGACTTTGATGCCATCTTTGATCCTTATGCACCAAAGTAAGAATTACTTTTCCCCCATTGTTTTGAATGCAGACACAAGGGCAGTGTTCAAAATGTTCAGCTCTGAATCATCTTTGAGGTATCTTAGTACTGGGCATGTCCATTTCTTCTGAAATCATGCTCCTGCCTGAAATGAGGAACTGATCCTGATTTCTTGTCATTAGATGATTCTGTCTAGAAAAATTACCTGATGATTATAAACAGTACTTGTTTTTCAGGTTGACATCTTCTGTAGCAGAGCACAAACGTGCAGTTAGGCCCACGCGCAGAGTCCAGTCCTCAAGAAATCCCCTGAAAATGCTTGCAGCAAGACAAGATATTCTTCATGAATATACTGAACAAAGACTGAATGTTGCCTTCATGGAGTCAAAGCGAATGAAAGTAGAAAAAAGTAAGCTAGCAGGATGATTTGTACAAGACAGCATCTTGCCTTTTTAATTAAAAAAAATCCCAATGTAAAAAACAGAACTGAAGGAAGGGAATGTATTCTCTGAGTGGCAATAAATTGATTGAGGTATAAGGTGAAATGTAGACTGTTTAGGAGGCCTGGAGAGAAGGGCACGTGTGATTTCCTCGGGGAAAGCTACCTATAGCCACCTCTCGTACACAGATTTAATTATTTATTTTTAGCACAGTGACCTTGTGCAGAGAGAGAGAGAGAGCCACGATGCCTGCAGGGTGTGCAGGGTGAGCACAGGAGATCAAGGAAAGCAGATCCAATTTCATCATGCTGGGGTGAGAGCTGGAAAGTGTAGATGAATTTTTGTTCAGACACAATGGCCTCAATTTTGGGTCTTTATTTTCTCTCAGAAAGTGGAATTAGCCTTCTTGACTCCTTATGATTAATTTGTATAAAGGATCAGTGCTTTGTGGCAGGGCTTACATGGTGTTTTACTTGTGAAGTTGCTTTCTGCTGACAACCAGACAGACAGCAAAAGCATAATTATAAAATTTATTCAAAGATTTATCCAGCCACTCTTACATTTTGGGGTACAAGTTTTACCCACTACACTTGAGTAAAGAAAGATCATCTTTAACTATTAATTGTATTGATGAAAAGGCTAACTATATATGTAATACTTTGTTGCCATCTCATGAGAAGAATTTCCCTGAGTTATAAATTCACAAAGTATCTTGTCTTGTCTTTAGTTGAGCAATAAACATGTAGCCAAGAATCTGGGCTGTAATTTTACAGTAAAACATGAGTAGGACTTTGAAATGTAAATGTGTGTTGCATCACACTGTCTCAGCCAAATTTTAAGGGAATTATAGTTAATTAGCCTTGTCTCTGTGCTGTCTGTTATTATTAATTACTTATAAGGCATTGAAGATCTACACAGTACTTCACAAAACATTGGGTAGGATGGTTGGTATTCCTGCCAAATAGCATAATTCTGACACTGACTCTTGGATATCTAGAAATTTAGGTAATCCTAAACCCACAAATTTTTTGGGCTAGCGGTTAGTCTGAGTTTATCCTCCCTTTACTGTTGCTATAGACAAGAAGAGAAGCTGGAAATAATGGGAAGAAATTATTTTCTTAATGCAACAATCAAAATTTTAATTATAATTTTGTTATTTTTATGTCTGTGTTTTCCTCCAATTTCTTTTTATGTACAAGTGTCTACAAATTCAAATTTCTCAGAAGTAGCCCTTGCTGGCCTGGCAAGCAAAGAAAACTTCAGCAACATTAGCCTGCGGAGTGTTAATCTAACAGAGCAAAACTCTAACAACAGTGCTGTGCCATACAAGAAGCTAATGCTCCTGCAAATTAAAGGTATGCTATGCTGGAACTGCTTTTACTTTCCATAAATAATAGGCTGAATGTAACATGTGAGAGTTGCTACCACATTTAGATGTTTAGCTTGTTCTGAATCTTCAGGATTTATGTCCAAAACCTGAAAAAATAAGTAGTAATTGTGTAAAAAAAGTTAAACCTTACAAATAGGTTTGCATTGGTCCACTGGTGTGTGTTTCCCAAAGAGATAATAGAATATTTCCCATATTCTGGCTACCCCTGTAAAATTTTTTAATTGTCCCGTCTTCCAGTGCTCAATATAATTTGGAAATGACGTGACAGTGTTCTTGCTCTACTTTCCCTTACAGTGCTTAGTAACATATCTGATTCTGCAAATAGCTAGGTTTTGGGCAGCAAAATTCTTAACATTCTTAAATTCTTAAAACTTTTTATTGCCTACGGAAATTGTGCTATGACTTCACTTAAGCAAATGTAAAAGGTTCTGGGATTTTGCTGCTGTCTGCCATTTACTTAATTCATTTCTTTTCAGAAGGACACAGAGTTGTTAAAGCAAGAACAGGAAATAATAGAAATATTAGTTGATAGGAGACAACATTTATTTTGTTTTCTGTGAGTAAACTTTTTTTCCACAGTAGTAGTCTTTTAATTATTCTTTAACAGTCTGTTTCCACATATTTTGCTACATGTGCTGGGATTGTTTGTGTTTCATTCAAAACAAATTAGATCGTGGCATTTGATAGTAGTGGTTGAAGGAATATAATTAGCTTTGTTTTCTCTTTAGGAAGAAGACATGTTCAAACAAGATTAGTTGAACCAAGAGCCTCATCACTGAACAGTGGAGACTGTTTCCTGTTGTTAACTCCACATTTATGTTTCTTGTGGGTAGGAGAGTTTGCAAATGTCATAGAAAAAGCAAAGGTCAGTACTGTTGTGAGGTTTTATTTATTATTTATTTTTAGAACCTTTGCCATATATGTCTGATAAAATTGAGCCTTAGTGCCAATTCTCTCAAAAAGTGGCATGTAACTGATAGTCTGTGACAGGGAGATACGCAGGATTCCTGAAAATATGTTTTAGGTCATGCACTGAATGAAAGCTGACATTTGTGAAGGAGTGTGTAGTTTGTGAAGCTGCAAGAGAAAAAAGGATATCCTCAGGATACAGACTGAACTAAAAAAAAAATAGTCTGAATTGCAGGATGTCCTTTTCATTCCTATGTCCACTGAGAGCAGTCTTGCTTTAAGGCAAATGAAAGAATGAATGCATTTCTGTAACATTTCTTCTAATGTCTGTTTATTTAGTGCAATAAATATTAATAATTTCTTCTGCTATTTGCTGTATTATTTCTCATTTGCCTTCTCTCTGAGCAAGAATATTGCACAAGTATTCCAAAGACTTAAGCAATCCTGTTCAGATAACTGTTAATCTCTTAGGCTTCAGAACTTGCAACTTTAATTCAGACAAAGAGGGAACTTGGCTGTAGAGCTTCTTATATACAGACTATAGAAGAAGGAATAAATACCCATACCCACGCAGCCAAAGACTTCTGGAAACTCCTTGGTGGACAGACAAATTACCAGTGTAAGCATTGTTATAGTTACAGTATCTGATGCTCTACCACAATGAAATAGTAGAGTTGGTTCTCTTTAGTAAAGATAAGTGGAGGTTAATTTTTTTGTTATTTTTGACAATCTTTCCCTTAAGCTGCTGGAAGTCCTGAGGAAGATGAAATGTATGAAGCCGCAATAATAGAAACAAATTGCATTTACCGCCTCGTAGAGGATAAACTCATTCCTGAGGATGACTACTGGGGAAAGGTGCCAAAATGTACCCTGCTACAACCAAAAGAGGTATTGTGCCATTTCGTGCTCCTATGGTAGGTGCAGGAACATGCAACTGCTAATGACTTGCAGTAACTGCAAATGCTTGCGGAGAGGATCGCTGAAAGCTGGATCCTCTGTGTTTCTGAAAGGCTTCTGCACACTTTGCTGTCTAGAGTGTGCTGCAAGGTCTCAAGAAATTAGTTCACATTATCTTCAAAGTAAAATACCATTTTAGGATGTGTAAATCTTTTTTTGTCAACAGTGGCTTACCCCAGAGTCATGAAGTGCAAAACAAGTAACACTTGGGAAAAACAAAACAAAATAAAACTTGGTTTTTTTTCTATCCCTAGCTGACTTTTCTTCTTCCAACAACCATTGCACCCATCTAAGTCAGAATGAGAACAGACTTCTAAAATGAGGACACGATGCATTTTCTCGAAAGTGTTGAAGTCACTGCCTTTTTACCTTTGTGTGTTCTGTCAGCCTTCCCTGGCAGTAGGACAAGGCATAGGTCTAAATGTCAGAGAAAGCTGCTGAAACTGGATAGCTATCAGTCATGCTACAGAACCAGATTTTTAGCAGTAAGAGCTCTCTATTCTGCTAGTGACTTCACCTATCTGATGATGCACCTTACAGCATCCCCCCTGTTTGCTTCCAGTCATCCTCAAAAGCTGGACATCACAATGCAGACCATTGGCCTGTCCTTACTTGCATTGCAGTGCTACTTGTTAGGGTCACTGAAGAAACTCATATTTGGAGTAGTTTCTGTTCAGCACAAGGAAACTGGAGGATCAGGGTATCACCTAACCTTATGGTAGATGGATTATTTTGTTGTTTGGTTTTGATTTTAGGTGCTGGTGTTTGATTTTGGCAGTGAAGTGTATGTATGGCATGGAAAAGAAGTTACTTTAGCACAAAGAAAAGTGGCATTCCAGCTGGCAAAACACTTGTGGAATGGCACCTTTGACTACTCCAATTGTGATATAAATCCTCTGGACCCCGGAGAATGCAATCCCCTCATACCCAGGTATTGTAACTCAAATATAGTCTAATTGCAGATACATCGTTTTCTTGCCCCCTTTTCACAGTGTTTAATTTGATTCTATATCTTTTGTTCCATTGCACAGAAAGGGACAAGGACGCCCAGACTGGGCTGTATTTGGCAGACTCACAGAACATAATGAGACAATATTGTTCAAAGAAAAATTTCTTGATTGGACGGAACTGAAGAAACTCAATGAGAAGAATTCCAGTGAATCCCTTCACCAGAAGGTGCATATAATAAGCATGCTAGGTATTTCAAACTAGATGACTTAGTTGGGATGGTAGCCAGGGAAGCTTGTGCTCAAGGATCAAGAGCACATTTTTTATATTGTGGGCTTTGACCTAGGGGTCAGAACATCACCTGCTACAGTGAAACCACAGAGTTATTTTATATTATTTTTATTTATAGATGATAATATAATGATATGTTATATATTGTTTATATAATAATAGTTATTATTGTTGTTATTGTTATTGTTATTATCCAGGCAGCTCAATGAATACTGCTGAGGTGGCTTTGACAGGGCTTCAAATGATGACACGATACTAAAGTACTGAAATATGCAGGAGTCAAAATGTTTGACTGGAATTGTGGGGCAAGAAGAAAAAAATGCTGTGCTCAAAGAAATCTCTTCTCTGTGTTTTCTGACAGGAAGAATCCAGATCAGACTCTAAACCATATGATGTCATGCGAATGGTAGCTGTGCCTCAAACAACTGTGGGCACAGTCTTGGATGGAATGAATATTGGCCGGGGTTATGGACTGGTAGAAGGAGAAGATGGGAGGCAGTTTGAAATTATCACTGCCTCTGTGGATGTCTGGCACATCCTGGAATTCGATTATAGTAGACTGCCTAAGCAAAGCATAGGGCAGTTCCACGAGGGAGACACATATGTGGTGAAGTGGAAGTACATGGTGAGCACTACAGGTTAGTGAACAATTCCATTTCATCCTGCTGAAACATGCAGGAGTGCAGCTAAAACTCCCGCTGTTAGTGGTGAGATCCAGACCTTGATTTCCATGGATATGAGACAGTTTGAAAGCAGACAAAAAGGAGAGCAACAAGTACGGGCTGTTGGAAAAGAAAATGGGATGCTAATTTAGCCCCTCTAGGTCATTGAAATTTAAAGTTTCATATTTTGTTTAAAAGAAAGCAGTAGAAAATAAAGAAATTGTAGTTACTTTTGATACACCTGATATAATGCTGTCCATCTCTGCTTTTACCCACCATTGGTGGAGTGCATGTTCACAGGACAGTTCACTAAGCCAGAATTATGCCCACAGCTTAACACTAACATAATTAGGCATCTGAACTACTGGCAGTGGTCTGAATGTCTTGCAAGAGAGGTAGGCTTAGCAACAAGAAAGACCTTTGCTGGTTATGGAGATCAATAACAATGACAGGAAAAACTCTTGCGAGCTCATTGGCCTTGCTATCCCTTTTGCTATTGCTGGAAACCCTTTGATCTGGATTTGAGGCTCAGCAGTGTTCTGAGAGCAGCAGGGAAAGCCTGAGAACCAGTCAGCTCCATAAGGCCATTGGAACTCCCCCTTCTGGCACTGAACTAAGAATAGGTGGTTTTTGTGGTAAGTTAAAAACAAATAGTCTAAAACTGATTGTTCCAAATAGCAGTTTATTAAAGTCAGTTGAAAGCACCATGACAGTTATACAGCTTCAGGCTTTTAGCCAAAAAAATGTAGGTAGGTCTTAGTCAGGATTGTTGAGATCAGATACTGGCAAATCCAAGAAAAATACAAAAGCTTGTAAGTCTTGGAAGAAGTGAGTTACACTAGTACTGAACTATAAACAGACTTCTAATTCAAACGGATGAAAACATATTCCATCACTCCAAAACAGAATAAATTTTTATGTAGGAGGCAGTATTTTTATGGGCTGAATGTATAGATAAGAATGAAACCCATAAATTTGAAAGTGAATAGTGTTTTGAATATTCTCAACTTGAAAAAAACAGGATGCTTTCTCCTAAGTGTTTCAGTTGAATGCTGCTCAGCACTGCTGGAATCAAGGCAGATGTTTTAACTTTTTTTTTTTTTTTTAATATGTTTTAATACTCTTGGGTTTTTTAAAATCTTTAATTTAATTCTAACTGTTCATTCCCTATTCACTGTAAAAAGTGCAATATTCTGTAAGTGGGTATGTTGTGAATTTCACTTGTTGTAAACATTTTTTTTTAATAACAACTAAATACCAACTCTTAAGGAAAAAAAAAAAAACAAAAACAACAGCTACTCTCCTGCTGCCAAAGAACAGTGTGTAATGTGGAAAATCAGCCATAATGCACTCTTCTGGTAACATTACAAGACATGCCATTTCACATGCAAATTGGCTCAAATGCTGACAGTTATTTTTCTCCAGATAATACCAGGTCTTTCTACATCCCTTTCTTCAGTCAACATCTCTGCCTGTGGGCTTACATCCACCTGAGGAAACAATGCCAGCTCTGCATGGGGACGCTCTGGCTTGGAGACCTAATGTTCCTCCAACTGCACATTTTTTCTTTCCTGTTCTGGACGGGATAGTGCTGAGCTGGCAGATGAGATGAACCCATGTGCTGTTTAAACCTATAGCCAGAATACTTTCTTCAGCATGTGCTCTCTGTTTCACAGTTGGAAGCAGACAAAAAGGAGAGCAACAAGTACGGGCTGTTGGAAAAGAAAAATGTGTGTATTTCTTTTGGCAAGGAAGGCACTCCACAGTGAGTGAGAAAGGAACATCAGCACTCATGACAGTGGAACTTGATGAAGAGAGAGGAGCACAGGTGAGCTTCCTAGATGGCGGACCTGGTAAGATTTGCCTGTCTGGATAGTCATGAACAGCAAACAGGAATTATCTTTTTTGCCTCCTCCCTTTCCGTAAGTGTGTTCTTGCCATTACAAGTAGTCAGACCTTAAAATTACTTTTGACATTATTCCAATTGCCAGAGACATGTAAGCTCCTTTATGGATTGTCATTCCCAAATGCTGCTTCTAAGGATATTTCTGAAAAAGGCTGAAGGAGAAGGTCTTGTCTCCCTTCCCTGCAGGAATAGGTGAAGCACAGTTACACAGATTCATGCCATTCTTTCAAGTACATGGTTGGATAGCAGGACTGTCTTCCTAGTGCTAAGAAGAAGCACTTTCTGCAGGCCAAGGCAAAAAAATACTTTGTAAATTTTCAATTTACTTCCTCTTTAATTACATATTAATTGCATTGTTTGCAGAAATTCTAGCAAATGCAATTTGAAGCTGAGATGACAGGTTAATTTACTTTGTCTTTAGGCAGACTTGGGCTTTGCTGTGGCTTCACTGTTACCAGCATACAAGATGGGTGGTTTAAAGTTCGTTTCTGTACCTTGATCCTGCTTTAATTAGTTTTTTAATAGGAGCATAGAAATGACCAGCAAGACAGAAGTTCATAGAGGAGAAATATAAGGACCCTTGATCAAGAGTGTGAGTCTCTGCAATATACCTAGCTGATTTAGGAATTGGCTATATCAGTTTCATACTCTAAATGCCATGTTTAGGGAGCAAAGAACATACATATGATCATAGAAACCAGTTTTATAGCAAATTTTGAACCTACTTCAGTTCCTATGTTGTCTCCATAATGGTTTTAGTGAACATCAGTCAAGGTGGACAGGTTCTGTAAATATTCATAAAATTCAAAAAATTGTTAGTTTAAACCAGTTTAAATTAAAGTTCATTTGGTATTCCATTATCCTTTGAAACTCAATTGTTGGATTCCAGCTAGAGGTTTCTTTTAATATACAGGCCACATATGGAACCCATTGCATGCTGATATATGGTAATTTAAACAATAGTCAGCAGTTGTAAAGTAGAAGGAAAGCCATCTTTGTGGGTGGCCATAACTATATAATTTTTAATAATCCATAGAGACCAGCTTTCCTGAGTCTCTATACTTGCTTTATTTTTTTAATGAAGAGTGGTGCTTTCAATTTCCAGGTACAAGTGCTTCAAGGGAAAGAACCACCATGCTTCTTGCAGTGTTTCCAAGGAGGGATGATTGTGCATGCTGGAAGAAGGGAAGAGGAAGAAGAAAATGCACAAAGTAAATTATTGTTAGTTAAGAGTTTCTGCCCCAGAATCCTTTTTTAGCTGTTGTGGAGGGCTTTGCATTCAGTCTCAACTACCCTACTCTGTAGGAAAGAAAAATGAATGCCATGAAACTCTTGAGAGCTTTGCGATGCTTTATTTCAAGGTAGCCTTTTTCTTCTTTGGGCAGAGAATGGATTTTGTCCCCCTAGAGCATGTTGAATATTTGATTGTATTCATGTACATACAGTTTTTTTTTTTAGTTTGGTTTTACTTATGCCAAGTGCCCAGTTGCTTTAAAGTATGTTCTTTTCTATGTAGTCTGGGGAAGAAAAGTGTTTTTATGAGCAGTTCTTCTACTCCAAAGAAAACTCTAAGCTTTTAATACCCTATCATTGCATTTTGTCACATATTCATTGAATGCAGTTATTGAGGTAGGAGAATTTCAGTGGAAGTGTAGCTTAGAGATGCTCCAGTTTTCACTTGACTGTGACCTTATGTTCCTGAGGTCCAGGGGGGAACAGGAGCTTAATAGGAAGACTACTGTGTTTATTTCCCTTCCTCACTATATGAAACAGCAGAATTTGACTCTTCTACTCTGTTAAGCTCTTCACCTTTTGATACTTGTACTCTTGTAGCAAGGTTTTAGAAGGCATCTTTTCTGCACAGGGTTTCTGAAGTAATGCTAGCCAAATGTGGTGCTTAGCTAGTTCATTCTGTCACAATACAGGCATGCAGTAGGTGAAATTCATCCAGTATGAGAACAGTTGTTCCAGAGCAGAGGTTTTGAATTTTCAGTCCCATGTGATTTTATAATAGTGCTGCACTGTTCCTGTCTGCTCCAGGTGATTGGAGGCTTTATTGTGTGCGAGGAGAAGTTCCCAATGAAGGAAACTTACTTGAAGTAGCATGTCACTGCAGCAGCCTGCGTTCCAGGACATCCATGATTGTCCTCAATATCAACAAAGCTCTCATCTACCTGTGGCATGGCTGCAAAGCACAGTCTCACACCAAGGATGTAGGAAGAACAGCAGCCAATAAAATAAAAGAACAGTGAGTGTCTGGTCTATATGTTGGAGATGATTATATAGACTACCAATTTACTTGAAGTAGTCTTACTCAAAGAAAATTTGAAATAAATAAAGTTGTCCTAAAGCTGTCCTCTAAGTACAAATGCAGCATGTGCACGCTTGGTCAGGAGGAGGAGTGAAGGTTGGTTTGGTAGAGTGGAGAAAACTCATATCCTGTAATTGCTTTAACTGGAGGCCAAATGCATTTATTAATAGACTCGTAGAATGGTTTAAATTGGAAGGGACCTTAAAGATCATATAACTCCAATCCTCCTGCCGTGGGCAGAGATACCTTCCACTAGACCAGATTGCTCAAAGCCCCATCCAGCCAGGCCTTGAACACTTCCAGGGATGGGGCACCCATCTTCCTCCTACTGTACTAATTACAGTTAAAACAAAGTCATTTTCCATTTGGAGTGAGATGCTAAACATCTGAATAGCAAATTAAAGTGCATCTGATAGGAGGACTAGAATCCAGGAAGGAAGAGGAAATTAACTTGGAAAAGCATGCAAGGAGGACAGCAGCCATTACAAAGCAGGCAGTGACAATCCTTACTGAGAACTCATGTGAGCATCTCCTTCACTCTGGGAATGGGATTCAAATGCTACAAGAATAGCTGTTGAAATTCCCTGTCTTGTTTTTTGATAATTTTTCAAAGTGCCTGTGTTGGCATGAAATGTGCAACAAGCCTATAGGATACTTTTGGGGTCCACTAATGCCAGCAGGTTTGTGTTAGCTGTGTTTGGGGCAGGAACAACAAGAGTTCACTCTTCCTTTGTGTTTGGTAGGTGTCCGCTGGAGGCAGGGCTGCACAGCAGCAGCAAGGTGACGATTCATGAATGTGATGAAGGGTCAGAGCCCTTGGGATTCTGGGACGCACTGGGGAGGAGAGATCGGAAGGCCTATGACTGCATGTTGCAAGGTAGACCTGCCTTCCTGGATTTCGCACTCACGTTTTACTCTACTAGTCTATGGTGTTGTCAGATTTAATGTGAAGTTTTTCAAGAATTTTTTGGTAGTTGAGTTCTTCAGAGAATTGCTTCCCAAAATCTCACTGAGTTAAGTAATACTGTTCTAGAAGAAAGGTACTGGAAAACCAAGTGTTTCATTTTGTTCTCCCCCGCTTCTGCTGCCCCTCTGTATTCAGGCAGCACAGAGCAATAGTTAACACTGTTATAATATATTTTGCTTCTCTTCTGAAGGGATTTAAGAGGCAGTTCTGCTCACATTTCCCATCCAGCCTTTGCTTTGAAACTGCCAACAAAGGTAGCAGGGGAATTGATTTACCAAGTGGAAAATTTGTCAGCTAACTCTGTGATGGGCTTGCTTCACTTAAGCTGCAAAACAGCGGGTTATGAAATGGCTGATAGTAACTAACCAGGATCAGATTCAGACTGATGGCAGCCAGCCACTCAGCTCCACTTCTTTACAGCTGTTGCTAGTTCCTCAAGACATCTGGTTGTCTTTCCTCATTTCTCAAAACCCAAAAAAATTACAGTCAATTTTAAAGTGTACTGTTAGTTTTTACAATTAAGTCTAACATTTTTTGTTGTGACTCTTCTTAATTTTTGTTCTTTAAAGATCCTGGAAAGTTTAATTTCACACCCCGCCTGTTCAGCCTCAGTAGTTCATCAGGAGAATTCTCAGCCACTGAGTATGTTTACCCTTCAAGAGACCCTGCTGTCATCAATTCCATGCCATTCTTGCAAGAGGATCTTTACACTGCCCCACAGCCAGGTATGTGCTTTAACATATTTAAGTAACAAGAAAACAGATGACTGTATCTTGCATTGGGCAGTGTCTCAGTAATTGTAAACACTTTTTACTTTATATATCTCAGGAAAATGTGTGCATGTGATGCTTATACATTACTAAGCAATAACAGTAATTTTTCAATGATGAAGATGCTGAGAAATAATCAAGTATATGTATGTATGCCAGAAACTTGCTGTAAAAATACATTGTTTATATCAAAGTGCAGCTGAAGTTTGGCTGGATAATTAACAAAGGGATTAGTAATATGTGAAATGATCCTGTTGTGATACTGACAAGCATATAAGACTGGGGTTGTTCACAGGATTACAAAAACTAGTAAGTAGCTAATTACGGATTTGTTATGTTCTTACTGTGTAGCACTCTTCCTTGTTGACAATCACCATGAAGTGTACCTGTGGCAAGGCTGGTGGCCTGTGGAGAACAAAATCACTGGATCAGCTCGAATCAGGTGGGCTACAGACAGAAAATGCGCCATGGAGACAGTGCTCCGGTACTGCAAAGGTAACAGACTGCTGTGCCCAACTGCTCTGAGTGTGTCACACCTGTCCATGCTTCTATCCTGAGCTCAAAGGTGCTCCCCCAATGTTATCAATAAACACCAGTTTATTTGAAGATACATTCCTCACTCTTTCTTATCAAACCATTTGTCTAGTAGCAGCGTTGTTGCCAAATTGCCGAGATATACTCTACTGACTCCACTCTCAGTGGAAAGGCTTTATTTATTGTGTTACACCTCAGAATCACAAGTTAACAGTTTAAATATTCTCACTTTAGCCTCCAAGCTTAAGCTTAGTTGGTTGTTGGCAGGACACTTCTGCTGAGCATACCAGAAGGTTTCGTTTACCTGAATTTGGCTAATTTCAGACCATCACACTCTGCTTACTCTATTCTAAGTCTGCTTTTTTAAGACAAGAAAGGCATTGGGTTAGAAGTAGCTGTTGGGGATTTTCAGCATATATGTTTTAATCTTTTTAGTCAGATGCTATAAAAGACAGGTTTAACAATACTGAAAAACATGTTAAAAGTTCCCATATTAATTAGAAAGAAATTCTGGAAACTTTATTCTTTCTGCCTTAAGCTGCTTCAGCTTTTCAGGAAAAATTAAATACCCTTAGGAAGTAACATTGAAGAGTGGGTGAGATTGCAAAATACTGTACCTTCTGTAATTTTTCCCTCCTTTTTTTGTATTTTGACTGTTTTTAGGAAAAAATGTAAAGAAGCCCCCAAAATCCTATTTAATTCATGCTGGCCTAGAGCCTCTGACATTCACTAATATGTTCCCAAGTTGGGAGCACAGGGAAGACATCGCAGAGATCACAGAAATGGTAAATATTTTCATTGGATAATCTGTTTCCTATTGCTAGTAATTGTGTCTTGTGTTGTCAATAACATTGGTTGTTTCCACTGTCAAGCCCTAAGATCCAGAGGATAAACTTAGAAACACAGTTCAGGAGCCAGCACAGGGGCAAAAAATCCCAACACCACAGCTAAATTCTGACTGGGAGTGTGTATATCAGAGGCATTGCTTTTTTATTTTTCTTGTAACTTCTCATACTCTTTTTTTTGTTATAAACAGAAGGAAAGTGTTACCTGAATCATCTCCTAGAAAGAGATGTGCTGGAGTTTGAGCTTAACAGAATAGCTGTTTCAGTCATGAAGCCATGTACACTTCTGGTCTGTTCCCCAGATTCAAAGTGCAGGGGAGCACAACACATTTCAAAGCTGGCTCCAAGGACTTCATTACTGACTTCCTCACCTTGGATTCAGAGTCACAGCTTAATCACATGTGGCTGCTTTAAAAGCTTTCAATCAAGGGGCATCTCAAAGCAAATGACATTTTCTGTTTTGTAAGTCTTCTGCAGCCATCTTTTGTAGAAAATGCTGGCTTCATGACTAAACACAGAGGTCAGCCTTAAACTGAGATTTTGGGAGTACAGGATGTCCTTCTGCTAAGGGCAGACCTGTTTTTAGCTGTGAAATTGTTGTAGGACAGGTCTGTTGGCCTCTGTGCACACCTGGACATACAGCTTTGTGCTCAGGCAGGGCAGGTTATCCCGTACCATCTGCAGATGGCCATGGGCACAGCTGATGCTTTCAGCATTGTGATCCTGCTCTCTGTTTTCTCCTTTCAGGATGCTGACGTTTCCAATCAGATAATACTTGTGGAGGATGTGCTGGCCAAGCTGTGTAAAACAGTGTATCCATTAGCAGATCTCTTAGCTAGGCCTCTGCCTGAGGGAGTTGACCCACTGAAGCTTGAAATTTACCTTTCAGATGAGGACTTTGAGGTAAGGACAGAATAGGTGCACTGTTACTCTGCATCTATGCCTAACCATGCAAGACAGTAATTTGCTGGTTGTGCTATTCATCAGTTGTTTTTGATAACAGTACATCCTTTCATTTTAAATGCAGGTTGCATTAGAGATGACAAGAGAGGAGTACAATGCACTGCCATCTTGGAAGCAAGTTAACCTGAAGAAGGCAAAAGGACTTTTCTAAACTGTGTTTATGGAAGTGAGCACTAAAGGGATGTCCACTCTCACTTTCTGTGTCCTTTAGAAGAATTGTACCCTACATTTACAGAGCAAATAAAATTAATCCAAAGTTATTAGTGACTACCTATCTGGAGGTGTGTAATATTATAATAAAAGGCCAAGAGAACTCTTTGAAAATTGAATTAAATTTTGACTCTTAAAAGTGATGTGTTTAAGCTCTGTTCTCCTATGCACTTAAACAGTAGTTAATTGAGCTACTGCTGCAGGTGTCCTTTGGCTATATCCAATACTTGCCATTTTTGTTTTTAAAGAAGTTCTCTTTGTAAAGTGTTATTTTGTTAGTTTGTGGATTACAAAGAATTTATATTTATATAAACACATAGAACAAGTATGTATTTAACAATGCAATATGTATTCACTTTCAAGACTTCCATGTCAAAACTACAGAAAAGTAGCTGGATGGCAGTTGCTTGTACTGAATTAGCTATACCACCAATATGTATCTCCTTTGCATTCTGAAAAGTTTCTCTTTGCAATAGTTAATGAATTGTTCTCAGTGCTGCTTCAGGTGCTAAACCGAACAAAGCGTTTGTATTTATAGCATGGATTTCTTGAGAAACTATGCGAATCAACCTTTATACTTTATTATCCAAAAATGTATAGTGCCTTGTTTTTTGTGTACAGTTTATATACAAAAAAAAGATTGGTCTGCATTTTGAAGATGGCTTAGAACGGTCTTCTATGTTACTTTTATAATAGTAGAAATAAAAACATCTCAGTTTCTAATCCTTGTTGTAAACATTAAACATGTCTTTTGTGATATAAGAACCAAAAGTAAAAGCTTCTGAATAAACTCTTAGCAATACTCTGACTTGTCATTAATTTGTACTGTAATCTGTACTAGCATTGGAACCTTACGTAACATAGTATTTTCTCAAAATATTTTAACCTTTGATGTCTGTGGGTATTGTACAGAGTTATAATTTGAGAAGCAAAAAATGTAGAAAACAATCAATGTATGAGATAAAGTTGGGCAAAACTTTAACGCTGATTGTTGGAACATGTCAGTCACACAATTCTGTATTCTTTGAATTTCCCTGTTTTGTATACAAAACCAAAATTATTATGCTGGTTTTCAAAATTTGAAAAAATCTTTTCAACCTTTGTGCAATTGGGAGTAAAATTTGAATTGAAAATGAGAATTGTGTCTATTCTTTCAATAAGCACTGAAGATAAAATTGTTTTTACTCAGCTAATTAGGACATTGAATAGAATCTTTGAGTAAATATTTGCTTATGGTTTGAAATGTTTTCCAGGCATGTGGCATTTCTATAATAAGTTGTGTGGTTCTCCTCTGGTATCCTAGTGGGTTTCACATTTTCATTCCTGGTAGCTTTCCTTCTGCCTTGCAACCATTTAGAGCTGCTCATGGTGATACCTCGGGTGGTGCCTATTGCTGCTCTTGTCATTCTCCTAGGCCAAGGGACTTGAAGTGGGATTTTTGAATGTGTGAGGTGTGGATTTCTGCAAGATCTGCAATAAGTATTGCTCCATAGTTAAAGTGAATCTTGTTTTGATAGATGAGTCGGTAAGTTGTAACCAAGCCTATAAGTAAATGAATTAAAAATGTAGAAATACACAAGTACTATTCACCTGACATGAGATATTACAGGTGAATTTTCAGCACTGGAGTATTTCCTTTCATGTATGGGTTTCTGTCAAGAACTGAAATGAAATAAACCAAAAAAATGTTAGGTACAGTATTCAGAGCCAAAATGCTTCTTACATATGTGCCAGTAAAAAGCTGTTTAGATGCCAGTTCCTAAGAGATCCTCAGCTGCCTTCTGCATGTGATACACTGTTAGTTTGAAAATGCAGGGCTTTATAGCGACAAGTTTATTTTTCAAGTACTGAGAGGTTTCTAAAGTCACTGCAGTATTCATCTAAGAATATTTGCACCCATATATTTTCTTCTTTCACCCTCCCTGGTGATAAAATCAAGCAGGAATTAGGTTTTGATTATTCATGTTCAGTCTGTACCATGAGGGTAGCAGGTTCCTCTGTTTTGATTTTTCTCTCCGAGAGAACTGATTTGCATAGCATGATTGACCTTGTTTTTCCTCTGGCAGGGTAGTATCATTTGCTTTTGATTCTTGAAAACATTGTCAGTCCTTCAAGTGCTGCTGAAGGGCAACATTCACCCACCTCTAAAGCCTTTAGAATCTCAGCTGAAAGACAAGAAGAGCCAGCAAGAGGGCTGCAGGCACTGAAACAATTCACTGTTGTCAGATCTCAGAGTTCCTGTAAATTTTACACTATTTTGTATCTAATGGCCCAGTTCCACGAGCCAGGACACAGAACCCAACTTTCAACCTGGGTGCTTTGCTCATAATATTGCCTAGGAAAGCTTTAAGGTTATGCAGAAAATACTTTATTATCCATTATATACTCTTTACTTATCAAAATGCTTTCCTGAAATGTGAAGCTGACCACAAAAAGCAAATGAGTGCAAGGCCTTAGACAGACCTGTAGATTATGCTTTAACTTTCTGCTACCTTTCCTAGTCACTACAGCAACACCATTTACTGGTTTTAGAGCCCTGCACAGGAAATAGAGCTGAAGCATGTCTTGTGTGGATAAGGGGACAGGGTTCATTTGTTTGCATGTCTGGGTTGTCTAGTCCTCTTGGACTAGCACAGAATATATTTTCATAGCAAGGACCAGACTCTGGGCAAATTTCTTACATTCTGTTGCTAAAATATATTTATGTAAAAGAAACATTCATTTTCTGCTCTCTCATTGCAGCAAGAAACTGGGGTATGTGAATAAAACTGTCCTTTATCTATTCAAACAGAAGACAGAGTCAGCGGTAGAGATTCACGGCAAAAGGTACTGATAGTGCCCCTGAGGTCTTGGCTCTGCTACATATGCTGCACACACAAGCCAGGCCCTGGGCTGGCAAACCCTTGCAGTCATGTATTTCTACACTTCTGGCTCTACCAAGCCAGCCAAGCTGGAAGGGGCCAAGAGGGGCTGCCTGCACCACAGCTGTAAATGTTACCTAAACCATCCCAAAGTTCTGGTCTCTCCTCTGCAGGTACCTGCCCATGGAATTGCCAAGTTACTGAACAAAAGAAGTCTTAGAGTGCATGCACTACTGAAAGAGCAAGGGAAGTCAGGAGGAAACGATCTGTAGTGACCCCATTTGCTATTTTACTAACTGATACCTACTCAGCTTCAATTTTACACTCCCCTATCTCCCTCTGCAGCCTGTGTGTTCCAGGCTGTGCTAACCAGCACGTTCATTTTACAGTGGCAATTGCTGAGCCACTTGTGCTTCGTAGCAGAACACTGATGTTTAATTCCTTTAATTTAGAAATATGCTGTTAACTGTTTGCACATGTGGCTATTAATTGTCTTTAAGCAGCCAGTAAACATATAACCTCAATACAATCACTATCCTTGTAGTAGTGTAGTAGTACCCTTGGTCATGGCAACTGGCTGTGAGGAAAGGCACCTGCTTCCTACTCCCAAAATTGGATGCTGTATATAATAATGTTGTTGAAGTGGTAACACTTTATTATTAGTGCCTCTGTTTGCTCACTCTATACTTTATAAAGTGATCATGACTTATAGACAGAAAAGTAATTGATTTGGCTTGGTTTATCTACAGGGGCCCAGGCAATATTTTATCGTTTCACTTTGAAAGCTGTTTTTGAACTCAAGTCATTTATGTAAGTAATTTCCAAGTAAAATCTCTGCTAGTTCTCCTGCTTTTTCTTTTTCCAACTCTGACTGCTACCCTCATTTCACAATTTAAATATGTGGGTGTTTTTTAAAGAATTCTAACTTTAATATTTGCGGAATATGATTGCTAATACTTTGCTGTACAGTTGTAGGGGGTGTGTTTCTCCCTACACCCCACCCCACCACCACCACCTCAGTTCTTTCCAAGTGGTTTATTAATGATCTCAGAAATATGATTCTCTATTTCAGAAAAGATTTTCAAAATTTGGCTGCAAACCAGAAGCACAACCATACTGCACTGCACCAGTGCCATAAATACTAAGGAAGGCTGAACATTTCACAAAAAGAAAACTACCACAAAGCATTTGAGGTTTTGACTTCATCCAGAAGCCTCTGATTTACTTTACTACTAAACTTTCCAGAAAAACAGACTTAATTTTTGCAATGCTTTCTGTTTTTGATAGAGCTATGCATTCTGCCAGGACATGGCTGCTGGATAAGCAAAGACTTCCAAGACAGTCTCTGCAGTAACAAATGCAGAACTGAAGGCTGAAGTGACATGAAGCGTAGGAGGGCCAACGAAAATTACACAGGGCAGCAACAGGAATGAACTTTGAAAATCCTGAGTCTGAGCAATAGAGGGATAACCTGGAGCCCTTCAGGAATGACCTGTGAAGATGACATACTCTGGAACCACTGCTGGTCTTGATACCAGTTTGGACAGATGCCACTGTAGAATATCTAGTTTGTATTTAAAATATATGCAAAGACTTCATAAGGTGAGGTTTATGAAGAGTCCATATTGGTTGGATAAACAAGATACCACCTGTCCCAACACACCTCACTTGTTGATGTTCAAGTGCTAGAAGAATATGTGGTTTTGTATTTTGAGGATCTTACCACATCTGCCTCATTTCTGATCACACAGAAGAGGCAGAGGTCTGTGAAAGCCTCATAGCAGCAGATTTGTTCCCATGTTATATCTCTAGAATGAGATGATCCTTTTCAAACACCACCAAGTGTGGAAGTGGAGCTTCTAGAAGCACATTCGCATGTGGCCTCCCAACTCTGTCCTGGAGGGATGGTTGCTTGGTTCTTTCTGAAGCCCTCCCTTTTTTAGCCAAACTCTTCCAGAAGAGTTAGAAAACCTTTAAAGCGCCATTTTCCAAAGAAGGGACTGAGCCGTGTATGGGAAAGCAGCCAGAGCCCAGGAAAGGCTGGTGGAGGATGTATGCTAATGAGGAAACTGTCCTGGTAGATGGGATAATGATTGAGCCTTCTTAGGAGGTAAGAGATGAGGAAGAACTATTGGAAAAGTGCCAGAACAGAGTGATTAAAAGTCCTTTCATTTTACATTACAAAGTGGCTGAAGGCTGCCAGCCTTGTTTGAATTTAATGGGAGCTTGTCCTTGACCCGTGTGCATGCTGCATCACAAGAGTCACTGCCCTCGGATCCTGAGAGAGCGGGTGCCTGTCTCTGCCACAGCGCGCACAGGTAACGTAGGTGGGCGGGCAGGGCGCTGTGCTGCTGCCCCGCTCCTACTCTGCTCACTGCGGGCTGCCTGACTGCCGTGAGAGCATCCTCCCCGGCGCGGCTCACCCTCCTCGGGCCGCACCTGAGCGGGACGCGGGTTGTTCCGCTGCCGCGGGGCACTTCACCGGGTGCCCCCGTCAGGCGTGCAGGGCTGGGACGGGAACACGCAGCCGCCCGAGCGCCTCTCGCCGCAGCGAGGGGTCCGTGTTGCACGGCTGAGCAGCCGATCGCTGCCGCTGTGCGCTGCCGGCCGCCCTTTCCCCTCCTGCGGCCCCACGGGCCCTGGAAGCGACTTGTGCGCCGGCGTTAAGGCCCGCGGGCCGCCTCAGCCCGGCCGCGGCTCTTCCTCCCCTTCTCCGCTTTCCTCCTTCCCTCCGGGCGCCGCCGCCATGGGGCCCCGCGGGCGGCAGGGGGCGCCGCGCCGCCGTCCGCGGGCCCGGGCTGCGCTCGGTGTGCGCGGCGGGGCCCGGGAGGGCTCGGCGTGACCGGCCATCGCCACACGGCCCCGGGAGGGCTGGGTCTGACCGGCCATCGCCACACGGCCCCGGGAGGGCTCGGTCTGACCCGCCATCGCCACACGGCCCCGGGAGGGTTCGGTGTGACCGGCCATCGCCACACGGCCCCGGGAGAGCTCGGTGTGACCCGCCATCGCCACACGGCCCCGGGAGGGCTGGGTCTGACCGGCCATCGCCACACGGCCCCGGGAGAACTCGGTGCGACCGGCCCCGGCCATCAGCACTACGAAATGGCTGCACGAGCCCCTCACCAAAAGCCTTTAGCAGCTGCATTTGCCTCTGACATTCCACCGGGTGTCTGACATACCCTGACCAAACCTTCTCCCTATGAAGGCATATCCCAACCTGGGTAGGAGAGCTGTGCTTGGCATGAACCACATTCCTCCATCCAGAAGCACATGAA